AAATTCTCACTTGAATTAGTGGTCTGCACCCCAAAGGCGATGCAAGTCCAGGTTTTTTTTATATACGTCAGGCCGGGTATGGCCATGAATAATGCAACACATGACGTAAATATGAATAAAACAACGTGTGATGTTGAATAAAAATGCACGGAATGGGACGAAAGAAATCACTACCAGCTGACTTTTGATTCAGTAACCAAGTTCCTGTGCTGTGAAGTGGCAACTGTCCAGTGTATATTACATATATGCAGCAAGGTATGAGACGGAGAGAACCCCCTCCCCCTGCTTTGTGTTGGTCATTGTCTCGCAGGAATCTGGGGAATTCCCTTCAGACATCTTGGGGGATGTGTTAGGTAACAATAGTCTGGAATGTGTAAAGGGATTGGACATGTTGGGGGGGGGTACCCCTCGGTCTCATTTCTTGCTGGGTATAGTATATTAGTTTCATCTATGTTAGTTTCGTCCTCTTTTATAGGTTTTGTCCTTTTCCTCAATTTTCGTCCTCTATTCATTAGTTTCGTTGTTAATATGAGTTTTGTCGTATATTTATTACTTTTCGTCCCATATAAATTACTGTTGTGCTTTAAATGTACTTTTTGCCTATTGTGTCCCAGAAAAAAACAAACCCTGAGGAAAGGGGTTAATATGCCCAAACCATGAGACATGATCATAATGTATAATTTAATATAAAGTTAATTATGCACCGACACCCGGCTTCCGCGTGTCCGCCTTCCCTTTCAATGCAGAGTTCCGAACGGCGGCGCATGTCAGCCAATGCAGGGTCATGTCGTAAGATGTCAACCTCCTGTGAATGCGACCTCGTAAGTTTTGGATGTTACGGGTGGACTGCATGGTGAAAACTTTGTCCTTCAGGTACCCCCACGCAAAAGTAATTACACATAGTGAGATCTGGAGAACGGGGCGGCCATTCAATTGGATGGTTAAGAGCAATTACTCGATCTCGGAACAGTTCCCGTAGGAGATTCCTTATAGCGATGAGCCTGTGTGAGGAAGCCCCGTCTTGGGCCCACCACATATGTCGGAAAACACCATTTTCATGCCGTTGAATATGCATCTTCCCATATACTGCCTCGTCACCTATTGTCAACCTTTCAAGAAAACTTTCATTCGCCTGACAGCTTTCCAGGAGCCATTGAACAAACCGTTCCCGTCTCCTCCTGAGGTCTCCACGCAAAAGTTGGTGGCGGATGTGCATTCGGTATGGATGGAACTGCAGGTCTAACTGCGCTTGCGGTAAAACGAAGAATGGAACAGTCCAAGTCCATTCCTCCTGCAACTGGTTCCCCTTGGCTGTTCGACAAGTTGCTGTCGAACTGCAGCAACGTTTTCAGGACTTCGCACTGTGTGCCTCCTTTCCGAATGACCCTTATTCAAATTAAGATTTGTCCCACGTTCTCGGTATTTGCGCACATTTTCTGAGATGGTCGACTTTGCCGGTGGATCCCTATCAGGGAACCTTCCCTAAATGCAACTTGGGTGGCTTGAAAGCTCTTGTTTTCAAGAAATTTCGTTACGACAAACACTCTTTGCTCTTTGGTAAGTTGCACCACTTGCTGTCCTGCTTCGAACACTTTTCAACACTGCACTGGCCAAGTCAACACATTTAAATTAGATTATTGCATAACTTGACTCGGAAAGTGACAAGAGGCACTTTCACTTTCATTTTCACGTTGTCACTTTCAACCAGGACAAACATGACAGAGGACGGCAACCTCATTCACTGGTTTATCCAAAGTGTTACAACTGCATGAGTTCGGCATTTGAAGCAAGATACGGGACGGAGAGAACCCCCCCCTTGTGTTGGTCGCTGTTTGATCGAAATCTCACGAATTCTTTAAATGATTGTTTTGTCTTAAATTCATTTCACTGTCATCTCATATATATTAGTTTCGGCATATATATTCATATAATATTATTTTTGTTTGATTTCTTTTGTACTAATAAAGTCATAAAGGGCGTCCCATAGATATGTTTGAATTTCGATAGATATTATTGCAGACACAATGAGCTCATATTAATCGTAATATAGTAATAAAAGCAATCTTAGTAGTTAGGTTTAAAGTTTACAAATTAATGGAAAGAGCTGAGGACCTTTTAAAATTATACTTCTTTAATCTTGTTTGCAAACAATTGAAAATACTATAGAAGAAATACATGCACAGAAATTTCATTGTGGAGTGTTGTTGTTTTCGTAAATTTCTTTCTTAACAGTGACAGAAAGCAATTAAAGCCGTATGACATAAAGAACAATACATTTGGTAGCACCCTGACATGTGATACAAAAAGCATACGGCACCGGATACAAAGGTTTCTTTTTTCTCTTCAAATACCTCAATTTATTAAAGACCGCAGGTCTATAAAATAAAACGCCTGTAAATTTGATAAAGTAGATCAAACCTAGATTATTTCTTTGTCAACTATTTGTTACATAATTAAAATGCATGTTTCCAGCTTCGAAAATATACTGAAACAATAACAGAATCCATAGAGAGTAAAAATCAGAGCAGATTTTACTTAAAGAGTTATATACAACTTAAATGAGCGTGAACATTAAGAAGCAAAATAGGCTTTAGTACAATAAGATTAAATCATGCCGGGTTTAAAGGCAAAGTAGTAAAACGGCGGGGACCCGTCGAGTGGGCTATCGTCGTGACTCCAGGAGTCTGTCAGTCAAGCTGCAAGAGGGAACTTGAAACTCCTACGCATTGCGTTTACGTTCGCGCAGACGGCAATTAAAGACGTTAAAGGCTGTTACTTTTCCAGGGGGATTATTTGCTAATGTAAGTACATGTGCATTCATTTAATGCTAAACAAAAATAAAAAATAATATATATATAAATTATTAATGACAGATAATACATATGTCCTAAAACAGGATGCTGATAAGTACAAATGCGCGAAATTTATGTCGTGAAAACGCCTTGTTAGCTCGATATTATGGTGTAGGAATATCAACAAACTGCACCGTAGCAACCAATGTGCGGTTCCCAGACTGCGCCGCTCCGTCACTCCTTTGTTTCATTGGTATTTCCGATTTCGAAGAGATGCGGTCCAGACTATTGAGATCGAGCAGTGTGATTTGTGGCAACGTCAGTGGTGTGAGTCTTTCTAATTTCGATTGAATTTTCGCAGAAAGCCAATCATGGTAAGTTTCTTTTCCATAACTGAACATTAGAGCCTATATTGCAGTATTTGTTTCTAAGTATGGTACCGAAATATAACAGATATTGCAGAGTAGGTCCCGGAAAATAGGCTATGGTTAGGTCACCGGCAATCAGCATTCAGGCATTACATGTAGGCCTACCGGCGTTGCATGTACATGTAGGCCCTACAGTTTGTACATGTACATTATACATGGGTGGACATGTACACGTACAGTCTGTAGTGGGCTGGGTGTCGGTCTCTGTTTCCACTTTGCCCCATGTCACTTCGCCCCTTCCCCACTTCGCCCCGTCCCCACTTCACCCCATCCCCACATCGGCCGGCTACCACTACGCTCAATTTCCACTTTTCCATGCTTGAACGTGGAAACTCTCTGGGTCTGGCACAAATGAGGCACCTTTCTGGTGGTGTGGATTGACATTGTGACAATGGATGTGATAATAACATTGGAAAGATTGACCAAAATACCCCAGAATACCCCATCACTCTAAAAAACGACCCCTAGAATGACTGGTTATGTGGGTACAAGGTGAAAATCCCTTAAGAACAGTGTGACACTTTAAGCTGGCTACAAGATTGATTATGCTGGGTATTATGCAACAATATGATTTCTTAAAATTTTCATCAAAGTTTCAGGGATTGTATGCTTGGAGACCCCCAAGTTTTTTGACATTTGAATCTTTTTCAAAAGTGGTAAGCCCCCCCAAAAAAGAAAGGCAATGGGCCGACTCTCTTTATTGCACTGACCCTATTTTTAGGAAATTTCCAATTGTAAATTGTGAGAAAATATGACTTTGTTACTGATAAACTAACCATGCAAATTTGAAATCACCATGTGTCATGTGTTAAAACACTCACACTTTCCCCTCAAAATTTCCTTCAAACATGCCAAACTTCAAAACGTTGCCCTTTTTTGAAAAAATTAACCCTACAGTTATTGAGCATGATGTCACAGTTATCTACATGTACCAAGGTCAATTCAACAGTTAGAATATAACTCTCCCTTCTATTATAGGAACAGGGTCCCCAAATTTACAGTCTCCAAAGTCTGTCCTGTAGTCTTCTTTGGATCCCCCGTATGTACATGTACATGTATGTAGGCTAGGCTACATTGTGCGTCTTCTCTTCCATTTCAATCCTTTCGTTTGAGCCACTAGGCCTTCTTTTGTGAATCCATTTCCAACAAACTTGACTTTTAAAGACACAAATAAAAATGCATGTCTCTCCTTTCCGTGGAACCCAACAAAGATTTATCACAATAAAATTTTGGATTTGAAATATGCCGTGTTTCAAAATCGGTTGCTAACATGTTGGTGAAACATTTGAAATTATCAGGGTTGTTTTGATACACGAACATGTACCACATTTACTCCCTTTTTAAAAGAATGAGTTACATGTGAGGCACTATTGGTCCAAAAGGTTCAGGTACAGTACATGTAGTCACTAAATTACCAGGGTACATGTAGATCGCCTTGTTTGGTAGACAGGGGGAACCTAGTCTCTGAACCTACTGGATTCAGATTGCACATTGTTTGTGTTGTAGCTTTCCTGTGGCATGAAGGACTGTGTTACATCAGTTACATGTGGGATCCATGCCTTCCTATGTGCTGTAGTATATGTACATGTATCCTCTCAAAACTTCCCTTAGGTGGGGGGATGTAGGATTTTCAATAACGGGGTGGCACAAACTTAGTGGGTTAAATGGGAGTGAGCAGTGTGAAGCCCGTAGTCACAACTTAATGTACTGCAGCCATTAGTCAATGTAACTTTTTTTGTCATGCAGACTGTTAGAGGGGTATACCCAGCACGCCTCCCCTCTAAATCCACCAAGTGCAGTTAGAGTTCTAAATATCCGCAGTGCAGGAGCAAAAGGGGCCATTTCTCATTTTGGCCAATCAGAATCGAGATCACGGACAGTCAAAACCTAGCACATTGTCCACCCAGTGCCTGCTTTCGTCATGCCAACAGGGTTTACTTAACATTGGCAAGTATTGAAAAGGCCTCCTAACTACACTTTGTCTGTCCCACTTTACAGAGTGAAGTTGAAGAAAGCCTGAAAAGGATTTCATCCCACAAAGGAGTTATTGGCATTATTGTTGTCAATTCTGAAGGTGAGCATTATATACCGGTATCTTCATGCTCAAAGACGTTTCTTTGATCTGTCTACCAAGAAAAGTATTATGAAGAAAATAAGTGTGATATAGATAAATAGGAATACCGTAGCTGAATAATGTGAGCAGGCTACATGTACATGTACATGTAGGCTAAAAGTGAGTATTCACGGACAGGTGCGTAATGTACGTAATGTACAGTACTTACATGTAGAGAGTTTATTTTTTGGCGCCAACCTTTTTTTTCTTATTTTTTTCTTTTACCTTCTTTTTTTAGGTATTCCTATCAGGACAACCTTGGATAATTCCACTACTGTGCAATATGCTGGCCTACTCCATCAGCTGACAGCCAAAGCCCGTAGCCTGGTCAGGGATATTGATCCCCAGAATGACCTGACCTTCCTGCGCATCCGCAGCAAGAAGAACGAGGTCATGGTGGCACCCGGTAAGATGGCCAGCTGGGCAGTTTTGACATGTTTGGCACAGTTTCCTTTTTTCACAGCCCTGTCATCAACTGAAGCCATGTCCAACTTTACCTGGCTTTGGCTGGAGATAATGTATGGGTTTGTGGGAGCTGCTGGCTAGCGGCTGCAGTCATCACTTATTGCCATATGTGTTGTTGCTAGCCATAGCCATTGAATTCAATCCTGCATGTACCGGTACGTTTACCTTTGGAATGTTCCACAAACTTTGAAAGTAGCATCAGTAATAACATTGCAAGAAACCTGTTTTGTCACAATTCTCCATACCATGGGTGCACCGATACGTACAATGTACATGTACTGTCATTCAGAGAGAGTCTGGATGATGCCATGATATGAATAGTTACTGTACATGTTCATATTTCTGAAGTGCTAAGATAGAATATTGCTATATTATGAAAGCCATAGTAATACCCAGTCATAATATATGAAGAATTTTTGGTTTACATGGAATTCAACATTCCTCATTAGTTGCTCATTAGTATTTGCTCATTGACTTCCATGTATCAACAGATCGCAACATCCAAACATATTGAAAAAATATTGGCCTTTTGACATGCTGCCAAGAGCTTTTTAAAAGAGTCTCATTGTGACAATAAACTCAGAGAGAAATTAAGTGCTATTTGTCCAAATCCCTCCAAATCGTTGATGCAGTTTTTTTTTTGTTCATCTTTCTGAGCAAGTTGCTCGGAACAAAATTTCAAATGCATGATTTCAAACCAATGACCAGTGACTACAGGGACCCTGATTAACAAGTTTGACATGTGATTTATTTCTCTCCTCTTCTTTTTGTCTCACAGACAAAGAGTACCTGTTGATTGTGATCCAGAGCTCCACTGATTGATCTCGTTCAGTCTTGTTCATTTTGTACAGACAGAGAATGCCCCTTTTGCTTGTGTAAATACCACTTTCCTTTCAACCTTTCAGTGTGATACCCATATATTTGACTGTTAGATCTTGTAAAAGTGCACTATTGTATCCTTGGGTGTAGGATCTGATACCGGTAGAGGTTGATATTCAAACCTAGATGTCAGGATGTGATTCTGACAGGAACATGGCGTGATCAAGCTGAACCTTGCACAAAAGTCGAGGCTGGTTGACACTTTGTAAAAGTGAAGTTGTGATGTTGAATTAGCGTCAGATGCGAACTTCCCAAAGAAGTTAGTCCCAGTGAATTTCTTGAATCTTTTTGACCTTGATTTCCTTTGGTTTTTACTTGTAAGAAGTGTGAACTGGTCTTTTTCAGATAAATGGTTTTCAGCCAAGTGAGAACTTTCTCAAGATTGCATGAATTCCGACATTTTTGTTTTTGCACATTTACATTAATGATTTGATTTGCTTATCTGTAGTCTTTTTAATTTTTTTTTATTTATTGAAAACAATACAGTTTCTTCCATTTTTTTCTCTTAAACTATGAAGAAGGATTTTTAGAAATCAGTGAAAGAAAATAATAGTTTGTAGTTTTGATTTGGATATCTTCCACGGGTGGTGCATTCCCTTTCTGATGCCAACCTACCCAATGAAATCTTGTCTTTTGGCCAAAATCATAGGTTTAAAAGCATTTAGTGGACATATGAAATAGCTGTCATTGAACACTGGATACGACTACGGTAATTCTTTACTGTTCGAGATATCGGTAATTCATTCAACTTTTTTTTTTTAAGCTCGGCCCATTTGCATTTGTGGATGATAATTACAGCTTCGCTGAATGAATCATTTGGAGACAGATATTGTTGACTTCATTGTTAGTTTTCACGGTTTTACTTTGATTAAATCCACTGTATAAGTCTTTACAGTAATCCAATGACATATTCGTTTTATCTCAAGAAATAAAACTCTGTGACTTATTTGTTTTGCTTTTAACTTGAGATGAAATGAAGCGAAGGACTAATTGCTTGGTGGTGTTTATGTATTTGGTTTGAAAATTATTACAATTCTCTGTAGCTCATTGTTGATTTGAGTTCCCATACACGTATGTTGATTGAAATAAACCTTCAGCATAATCAGTCAACTAAACCAGATCTGTTCACATTTCAGTTTTTTGTTGAAAAAACTTGAAAAAAAAAGTTGCAGTGGATTTCTGAAATGTTGGGTGCAATTGATGCATGAATTTTCAGTAATCCCACCATTTGCCAATTGCCTTCTCTTTCTTATTCAAGGTTGTGAAAAAATGGTTTCAAAAAGAGATGTTCAGCAACATGTACATGTAGGTATTTCATGCGGGATGAGGTGATCATGCAGACTGGCTGATCACGCCCAATGTGGTATGCAAAAGTAACACAATTATTTCAACAGAAAATGACAATTAAGGTGAGGCGATGAGACAGTTTGGCTCGCTTGGAGCACGGTGAGGCATGTAGACTTTTTGTTGGGTCTGTACGTCATCGTGGACTGATTCGTCAAGAGGTTGAACGGAGACCTTGCCGCTACCTCCACAAATCATCAGTGACCACTGACCAGTAAAAACAAAATTGTCTACAAGAGTGCTGTAATAGCATATCTGAACACTGTGTGAGCAAAGCTGTCTAGATAGTGGATACCAGACCCGAGGATTCTGACTACTCTACGAATCAAGGGTCCGGTATCACCCAATGTCTGCGTGACCAAGACTGAGGGAATTTTTCCAGCTTCCGGAAATTGCTGAATTATTCTGAAGTCATCCTGTTTTTATTCAGCACATTCGGATGGTGCCGTTGATCATTCCCGGCCGGGTACTTAGGTATAGGTTAGCTGTTGAACCATGGAGATACATGTAGCTCTATGGTTGAATGTAAACTCCTCAAAAATCTCCCTAGAGGAGAATCTAGGAAGAATCAGGACCAGACGACGACTGGAAAATGCCCACACCCACAGGGTGCACCACCAGTAAATCGAAACACCCGAACTGTCAACTGTGACCCGTGACCTGTGCATCATGGTACTGGTGAACTCGGTCCGTAACCAGCTCGATTCCAGTCAACTCAGTCCGTAACCAACTTGGTTTCAATCAACTCAGTCCCAAGTTAACTCGGTCCCAGGTCAACTCGGTCCCAAGTCAAGTCGGTCCCAGGTCAATTCGGTCCCAGGTCAACTAGGTCCCAAGTTATCTCGGTCCCAAGTCAGTGTCTGAGATCGTTAATAAGTTCATTGGGCGGTACCATGATGATCGGGCCACTTTGCCCACAACTGCACAAGTCTGACAACTTGCCAAAAATCTAACCATATACTTCCTACATTGGGCATTTAAGGCAGAAACCAATCAAAGCTTCAATATAAGCCAATAAAGTCAACAGAAAGAAATGTCCCTGAATGGGGCTGAGAGCGCCATCATTTGTCAAACAATTTATTTTCTTATTTGTGTGAAAGTGTGAATAGAGTCCATGCATGCTGCATGGGTACATTGTTAGCGGAGCAGAGACTGTCGAGCGCCACTCATAGGCCTAATCTAGCACAGCTCCATACGAAACATACAGCATGCCAGCAAATACAACATTGATCGACAGCAAAAATATTCTAAGAGGTATACATTTTCAATCTAGCAACTTCTAAATGGGACCGAGATGACTTGGGACCGAGTTGACCTGGGACCGAGTGACTTATAGGAACGAGTTGACTCAGTAGTGGGTGATGCCTGACCTAAGATTTTTTATCAAGAGTCTGAGCACAACACAAAATGCCGGCCATGTTGTAGTTGCAGAATTCAGAAAGACACGGTTCGCGCACACTTCCAAATTACAATAAGGCATAACGCCCTTCGGCATTTCGGGGGGGGGGGGCTTCCAATTCCAACAGTGGATGAATTATGCCTATTGAGGGCGCTGTACTTTTTTAGAGCAGTCAGCTGTCGCGCGCTGTCGATGTCGTCGCGGTCGTCAGCAGTGTACGTGTGCCTCAGTGTTTGTACATACTTTACCGTTTACGTGTACACATGTGATTCGAGAAGTACATCCATTAGACAGAGGCACCTTTATCTCCCCATCATCACGATAAAGTAAGTTTGATAGGTCTATTTATTATTTAGTAGCATCTCAGGCCCCTCTTTCAAGTCTTTCTTTTCTCTTTTATTACTAGCCTACATGTAGCACTGGGGCCTATATATGGTTCATACAGGTATCATTGCATCGTATGCAGTTGACAAACACTGTTCACTGTTGTTTCTGTTGGATGTGATGCTTGGTGTATGTACCGGCACCAGCTTAATTGTGCTGCTTTCTGAGTCAGTCACACAGATTAAATGGTCCTTCCTAACAATTCCATGTATTATGATTACCGAAAATGGGTCACTTGGGAGACATTCCCATAGGAACGTGCACAAAATTTACCGTTAATTCAACAGTCCCTAATGACCGATGTCTCCCTAATGTTGAAAAATTTACCACAAAATGTCTCCCAAGCGACCTATTTGGAAATATTTTTGATCATGCAATAGATCAGAATACATTCAAACCTTGTTAATACAACATTATTCTTATAACAAGGAAATTTTTAGGTCTCATTCCTTGTTTTTTGTTGTTTTCATTCCTGATAATACAAGATTCCTGTTATCATGGTTATAACAGGGTAATTTGCCAAGTCTGAAGGAACTCTTATTAACGAGGTTCGACTGATCATATATCCATCACTCAACCCTAATAAAAAAAATGAATGACAAATTTGCAGAAAGCCTATTAGGAGAGAGTTTCATATACGTGTACATGTACAGACATCACTCCATTTCTCCTACAATGAATTATCAGCCATCAGAAAGCGATAACATGTCCTGATAAGTCAAAGTTTAGCAGGGAAAATTTGGGGAAAAAACACATAATTTTCAGACCAATTAAGGTTTGCACACAGGGTGTCAAATGATGCCAAATGATGTCCATGTATGGAATCTGCCTGATATTTGGAATTTTTTTCAGTTCCTTTGTTTACAAATGCAGTTAACAGTAACCTTAAATTCCACCTTGTAGGGTACTATAACAGCATTGCCAAATGTGCAAAGTGTTACAAATGCCTGGGGTAGTCTGATCCCGGAACATCAGCCATGAGTATGAGGCGACGGAGATCCCACAAGAGCCCAAGCCACGACCATAGCAGGACAAGCACACCGTCTCCAGCACGGAGTGGCTCGGTCGCATCATTGTCTTCAGGCTCACCCTCTGTACAAGCACTCAGTTGCCCCCCTCAAGGTACATGTACGTGCATGTATGCTCGTGAAAGAGAACTCAAAAAACTAATGGTGCCATGCTCAGTGTGGCTCTTTTCAAGATGCACCACAGAGACGTGAGGGCCAGGGCTTTCACCAGTATTTGGAAGTTCATACATGTACTTGTACAGTATGTAGGGAATCCAGATTTCCTCAGATTTGAAAACAGGGTGGTCAAGTTGCTTTTAAGCTTGATGATTTTACCGGCATGCACTGTACGGTACCTCTTCAGTTTTTTTCAGTAGGGTGTCTGATTTGACCCACATGTTCATAAAAATGTCATGCTCAAGCTGAAACCTGACATTGAACGTACAATACTGAACCTACATGTACGTGTGGGGCTGAGGCAGTGCCAGGACAATCGCACGTTTAACGTACATGTGTCTCTTACGAGATAAAATTAAGTTGGTTTAAAATGGTTGGGCCCTGCAAATCTGCCATCTTTTGCAACAAGTGTATTGGCTCCTGCTAACAGCCCAATCACACAAACTTCAACAGGTCTTTACATGTGCCGGGTACCTGCGTAAGTTTGTTTGATTGGGTATAGTACCAGTAGGCCCTTTGCTCATCGTAAAGAGTATGGATCGACTGTACCTAATCAAACAAATTTACACAATATCATTGTGCATAAACTGTATCCATGCCCCCCAAATATAATGAGATGAATGACCCAGTTGCTGGGCTCATGGTGAGCTGCTTATGTGCTGCCTACCCCTGATTCCCCTGGGTCTCTTCTCAGGTGAGGGTTAGTGCAAGGTCATGCTACACTCCATTGTGTCCTTCATTGTATTGTTTTAGAAACACACTCTCATAGAGAGTGGGTGTTATACATTGAGTCTATGGGTAAACCACAATACCTTGGGAAAAAGTCACAGAGCTACAGCACCCACTCAGTCAAAATTCAGCAGGGTATGTGCCGGCCCACAGTACTCATTCATACAGAATTAAACACCAGATACATGTAGTAAGCTTCGAGTACCCAATGCCACAAACTCACACACTTTATTGGTGTTGAATTCTATGTGGTTAGTGGAAGGTAAGGGTTACACATTTGCTTGTTTGCATATTTATTTTGCTGAAAGGTGTGCTTATATGTACTGTGCTTTAATCTTGTGCACTGTGGTACAGGCACTGAGTCAGAACGGCGTGTGAAGCTTGCAACCATCCACAAGGCCCTGATAGCAGATCCTGTGGATGTGGCCATGCTGCGCAAGCTGGCCATCAGCAAGGGGGGCCTGCTGACTGATGACGTGCGCCGAAAGGCCTGGCCTAAACTTCTCAATGTCAATCTGTTTGATGTTCCCTATAAAAAAGGTGAGCAACATGGGCGTGTTGTTCAGAACTTCACCCATTGCACACAAGGCAACTCCTTCCATTGCTCAATTTATTGAGCAACAAGAAATACAACAGGACATTAAGGTTTTTTAATTGCTTTGAGTGATGAACTGAAGTTGTAGGGAAACCAAATTGCACTGTGAAACCAATGGGCAGTTATACATTTGGCAAGCAGTACATATGTATTTCCATTTCAAGTCCAATTAAATGTGTAACAACCAGTGTTAAAACTTTGAGATGATTTCCTTGGAAATATTTGGGCAAATGTTGCATATTTTTTATTATCTTCGCATCACTTTTCATGAAATACCCTTGCAAACATGTTATGAAATATTGTAACTGGGTTAAAGATTTTGGATATTAACATGTACATGTAGGCCTATGTATTTTGCCAAATTGAGTCTTGATATCAAGAGGTTACTTGATTTTGCACACTGCATAAGACCTCCTCACATCTGATTACAGTACCTGACTTGGGTTTATGTGGATATTATTGATTACAGTTTACAATGTACCGCAAATTGTCTTGTTCAAAGACACTGAACATTTTGATCTCTACTTAAGAGACTTTCACATTTCACAAATATGGGCATTCAGGTATTCTTTGAAGCACAAATTACATTGTAACACCCTGCTTAATTCACCATTCTGCAGTGAGCAGACCACATTCAATTTGTCTTTGTGTATACCTCAAAGAGTGGTCTTGTCAAATGTCCTCTTTAATTTGATATCATACTGGTATTTAAGGTAGTGGTACGTGCAATTTTGGAGATTTTACAAAATTTCGCCTTTCAGCCATATCCAGTTTAAGTTACTCTTACTTTTACTCTGCACGTTGGATTCTATTATTTTTGGCTTGACTTAAAAGCTGTACACATGTACACAACATGTACATGTATGTATGAGTACTTGCGTCCCTATTGTTCCATGCATGTACATGTACCTGGTGTATGTTTCTTTGGTGTCGTTTTTTTCAGGCGTGAATATAGAAAATCACAGAGATTATCACCAGGTTGTGCTTGATGTGAACAGGTCGCTCAAGAGATTTCCAAAAGGTAAAAATTATTTATTAACCCTGACCTTCTTGGCCCTCATGGCCAAAATGCAGCTTCAGTCCTTCAGAATCATCCAGCTTTTGTGAATAACGTTCTTTCAAGGGTGACCATGGTGACCACTGCCTCAATCTTCCACACTGCTCTGTCAATTCCTGTCATTATGTTGAGGCAGTGTGGATGATTTTACACGTGTACGTATGATCTAGGCCTGAATTTACGCACCGTGTCTGAATTTACATGTATGCAGGGCTGAGCATTATTAACAGAAGGTCATTTAACCCAAGGCCTTGGCTCAGTGCATCCTTTGCAATCAGCCTGAGCCACACTTCTTTGCCATTCAGCCCGGTGAGTCCTCCAAAAACTTCCAACACCGCCCAGAGGATTTGGAGGATTCAGGAAGGTTTGGCATGTTAGAATTAATGAGCTACAAGCCTGGAGATTTTTAGAACTCCTCTAGGAGTTTGGGGAGGATTTTGCCGGATAAGGGCAGGCAACCACCAGAGTACCTTACACAGGATCTGCCCCCTTAAATGTTGGTAATTGCTTTTATTTTCAGTAGTGGAGTTTTTTAGAATTCAAGAAGACTGCTGGTATATTTGTCTGTTGGGTTGCACGTAGGGTAGAACCAACTCCGCTAATTCAGATTAACAAATCATTGACATCCTGTAGAACAGGAAATCAGCCTTGTGTCACTCAACATGTACATGTACATGTACATGTAGACTTTTGAATGATAAATTTGTCATTAAATTGTTCAGGGTAATAAATGCTACATGTATGTAGGAAGGGTGGGAATGCAGGTATCATTTGAAAAATGTTCAGTACCTTTGCCATGTTGTTTAAACTTGTAAAAGTCCCACCCATACCATGGGTGTCACTGAAAACTTTAAACACAACAAACTGTATTCAATGTAAATACTTGACACAAAGTTCCGGTGATTACTTCATGGTATTCCTTTGATATGACCGAGCAGTAACGTGTCCTGAGAATCAGATTACATTTAACAACCGTTTACCGTTTACAATAAAAAGGCCAAATTGCCTCAATCAAACGTCAAACTCTGTAAAAGGTGTGGTTTTGTTTAAATGTTTGGGAAAATCTGTAAACAGAGTTGGAACTTTTTTCATTGAAACGTTTAAATGTGTAAACATTCTACCCTTACTATGAAGAAAGACCAGTTGTGTATTTATGTCATTGTGCAAAATATTGTTATTACAGGTATGCGTGATGACCACAGGGAGGCACTGCAGGGTCAGCTTGTCGATGTCATTGTTAGGGTCCTTATTAAGAATGAGCAGCTGCATTACTACCAGGTGAATAGAGCTGATCAGAAAGGTGGAGTTACTCTGGCCAGTGGGGCTTACCAAGATCCTGATGATAATTAACCACAAAAGCTAAGGCCAGTTCATATTGCATTTTAATGTACAATTTCTTCTTGTCTCCCAGTTTTTTTTTCTTTGTTCATTAGGGGTGCGTGGTTGATTACGTAATTGTGAAAAAGGATGGTACCATTTGCTGACACAACTTTGTATTTTATGCATTTACAGACTTGGGCAAGTTTTAGGAACAATTGTTTGACAAGCAGTGGTTAATTTTGCTTGCTACCTACATGTAGGATATACATGTATTTTGTTCACTGGCTGCCAGGAAAAATGGACCTGGAGTCTAAAAAATGGTCGTACGGTAGCTCCAACTTACCCCTCTCATTGCACATTTGGCAATATCGATTTGAATGTAGCGAAAACTTGTTAAGTCCACAAGAGTTTAACCCATTCGTACGTACCAAAGTACGCTTGTGATTTTTACACTGGTGGTTTTTCATAAGCCTTCAGGGGCAAATACTGAGTAACCAGTGTTAAAATGCACGTCGGACAGGGCAAAAAATCCAAAATTAACCCATTCTGCCCTTGTGGCTTTGTCAAAATGTTACGGCTGTGACTGTCAATAAAGCATACCCTTATGGGAGCTTCTGGCTTGCAGCTTCGTTAGCCACTTTCCCTACATGTAGGTACATGTGTGTGCAACTATGTAGCGTGTTCCTATATAGACCTTCTCAGATACACCGGTACCATGATTACTATATCCACGTTGAGTAGAAATACCAGAGCCATCCATGTTGGTACATGTAGGGAGTGTTTATTTGATTGGTAGCGATGCCACCGCACCGCATGCATTTCATAGTCATCCGTGAACCAGCCAAGTGCAGTTCCCACCACAGGACCAGAGCCTCCGTTGCTAGGAAAATTGCACGCTCTCTTTGTCCAGCTTGGGGCCCATATTTCATACACATTTACATCCAGCTGGTTTGCATCTTGTTTTGATCACATAATGCCCCTTTGAACAGGAACCATTTTTGTCCTTGGCGATTTAGGTACATGTAGAAGGGATAAGGCCCCTAACCATAAACAAGCCTGTGATGGAAGGTTGCCTCTTCCATAATGAAATTCAGTAATGGGAGACAGCTTCAAGAAATGACATGTAGATTAAATCTCCCCCCCCCATCTTTTCAGGGTTACCATGATATATGTGTGACGTTCCTGTTAGTCGTCGGAAAGGAGGCCGCGTTTGCACTGATGGACAAGCTGTCTACCCATCACTTGAGGTAACTTGATAGTCAGTCAAGCTTTAATTCAATTTTTGTATGAAAGGAGAGAGACCCATCATAACTTTGACAAAAACTTACGATGAAGAAGGCAAGCAGTAAACCAACAAAGTACCAGGCTGGTTTACCTTATCATAAGTGAAAGGGTGGGGGAAAGTTATGAGACCCCTTTCTACACGTATCATACCCTAACCCACACTGGACTTACCCCTTATCTACATGTCAGGGTACCAACATTTCCAGGGGGGGTATGTGGTATGTATGTTCACCCACTCGTATTACAACATGTACATGTGCATTTGTGTGTGTACGTGTCCAAGCACCTGAAAAGTGTTAGTCATCATCAGTGATGTTGTTGCGTGACCCGGCGAGGGATTTAGAAGGACAGATTATATGCCAGAATTTGGAGGGTACATGAACTCGCTGCAAGAGAGCTTTATTCACCAGACGAACAGAAACCCGGCGATGGAGGGCGTACTTCTATTTCTACTCAACAGATGTTTAGTTTTTTCCATTATTGCTAGTAGAGATTTTCACAGGGAGGGGGTGTTGAATTAAGTAAGGTACTTGTACATGTAGGCATTGAATGAATGTTCAAAACTGATGTCTTAATTAAAGTTTTAAGTACTTGTGGGCAGGCACCCAAGCGGGAATGATGGAAGAAGAAAGTTTACACTTCTCTCCTTGCATTATAATAAATTAGGGCCACTAACTTAGCACTGTTGTTTTGCCATTTTTGTGTTAAGATCATTGACGTTTTCTGCATTTGTTACATGTACATTCAATTTTGATAGAATTGGTGTCCTAATTGCCACAAAATACATGTATCTACAGAAAAATACCCAAAAGATCAACCCCCAGATAAATTGTGTTGATGATACAAGAGATAAGTTTGAGATAGTGAAGAGTTGATGATCTGAAGCAGTATTGAGGTGTACCGTGTGTTTCTATTTGTTGCTATGGTTACAGAGATTTCATGGATTCCACCATGGATCGCACCAGACACATGCTGAACTACCTGCTGCCAATCATCAAAAAAGCCAATGTTGAACTGCATGACTTCATGGAAAGGTAGGAAAAAGGAAGAAGATTTCCTATTGTTTTTCTTTCATTTCAGTACCGTCGACATGTACATGAAAATGTCACACCTGCTGTACCGTTAAGGTGCCACTGTATCAGAAATGTTTCTTTTTTTTCCCTCAAAATTTTGGATTTTTTTTTTGCAGTTTTGAGGGTTGATTCCTTGGAAGACTAGAGATGGTTAGAGAGTTTGCAACAATTATCATTTGTAGAGCATTGCCAAACCTGCCGTGTAGCACCCTTTGTAAAGAGGACCCCTGGAACCTGCTGATAAAAGTGGGTCATTTTAAAAGTGAACACCAAGAGTGCCCAACAGTGGTTGGACACCGGCAACAAAAATGCTTTTTAGATTTCTTTGGTATGCAGTTCCCCTCCCCCAGTGATAAATTCATTTTAGCCAGTCTGTCCAAACCAAAACATATCCCCTCTATTTTCATTCAAACATCCGGCAGGCCGTTTATGACAATAAAAGTTTGATACCATCGTCATTTTGGCAAAAATATTTTTGTCGTTGCCATATTGATATGTAGTGAAACTTAGGAACAAGCATTCACACTGTTAAGCGGTTTCAAATTTAAAACCAAAGGAACCGTTTAATTATTGAAGCATTTGTGTGGGAAAACTTCACACAGGATACTTAATGCTCAATTTGATGTGACTGGATCCTACAAAATGAATCACAAGGCAATTTGGGGTTGTTCTTCTTTGATATATGTTCAACTCAGTTCGGTATCCGGATGAAAATGGACACAATGCGGGAGAATACTGTTAAGGGTTCCTCTGGACTTAAATTGCACAAGATTCTTTTGACATGTTTAAAACCTTTGACATATAGCTGAAAATTAAGTGGCTCCGGCAGCTTGCAGCTAATTTTCTGAGATTTTGTTTTCAGTAGGCTTTGATCACTAAACCCTCAGCGAAAACTTTCCAGGTCGGAAGTGGGTACCGTCTTTGCCCTAGCATGGCTCATCACCTGGTACGGCCATGTACTGAACGACTTCCGCAGTGTTGTCAGACTGTACGATTTCTTCCTCGCCTGTCACCCACTCATGCCCGTGTATTTAGCAGCTGCAGTAAGTATTCGGCTTATGAATTTAATTTCATTGAAATCAAATCAATACATCATCGTTTTTAATTTCTCCCACCATACACTTGTCATAATTTGTACATGTATTATACTCCGGGAAAATGGTAGCATAAATATCTTCTTAAGTTGTCATCCATTAAAACCCATTCCTCTGTAGTAACGGTTCATTTGAGAAAAACCATGCAGTTAGGGGTGTAAATGGCTTCCCTAAAACTTCCCTAAAACCTTACAGTGCGTTTGGACGTATCAAGTCCAATGTACACGTGTCCTGCCTCTTTTTTCCTTGAACCAAAAAGTTACTCTGGTTTGGGGGTGTTAGGGTTACGAATTTAATCACTGTATGCTGTAGAGCCCATTTGGTTGCATGCAGAGAGTGCAACTTTTGCCATTTAGGCTCAATATGTGTCTACCTCATCTGACCTGATCTTTCAGATTGTATTGTATCGTCAGGAAGAGGTGATGGCGTGTGAATGTGACATGGCCTTCGTCCACAGCCTCCTGTCCAAGATCCCCGCCAACTTGCCCATGGAGCATCTAGTCAGTCAAGCTGGGGACCTGTTTGTGCAATACCCTCCAGAAGAAATGGCGAAAGAAGCCAGGTTACAGTACAAACTCAGGTATTGATGACACAGATATCTTTAATATGGAGAAGGACACAGCAGTAGAGGAGTGTTCGATTAAGTTGAAACTCTAGTGTGAATCTGCTCTGTGGTTAGAAATTTGATCATCAAAATATCCATGAGGCCCACACACACCATTGACATTGGAGTGGCATCCTTTTCATGATTTCAGTTTTAAAAAACCCATTTCGTGACAAGTTCAAAACTTACTTTACAAACCCCCCCCTAAATACTCTTGTGTGTTTGAAAGTCCAACCAACTTCTGTGCTTGCAAACTTAACTGAGAATCACTTTGATGTACATGTACACATAAATCCTTGTTTCAAATTCAATGACATGAAATGAACATTACCATCAAAGTGAACTGTTACAAGCACTTTCTTTGTTTTTTTTAAATCTTTTATAGCACCAGCATGTCCAAACATCCTGACTTTGAACTGGAGACCTTGTGCCAGAGACCAGACAAAGTGCTACAGCACATAACGTCAAAGAGCAACGGGGCTGCCAGCTCACAGGCGACTGCAGAGTCGCAGCAGAGAAGCCGCAGCAGCACAGTTGTCAAGCTCGCCGTCTGGGCAATATCGGCGGGAATCGGAGCAGCCGCGCTGGCTGTGCTGAACACGGCGGGAGAGTACTGGTGACATGCATACTTTTTCAAGTAATACATGTACAAATGTACATGTATCTGGTAGGCATGTGTCTGTTGCACGCCAGAGTTGGCTGTGCACAGAGTATGGTCCGTGAAACAGCAGGAACCATGTTGTTGCCTGTGCATCATTTGCCCTGATCATGTTGCTGTGATGAGTCCGTCACCAGTCCTTGCTGGAAATCCATTATGAATGCATGGCAAGTGATCCACCCCAGGCATTAGCCGAGTCAAAAGCCTTGCCCAGCGTTTATCCAGGCACTGGTGACCGGGCTTGTTGCGACTCATGAGAAGGACTTATGACTACATTTGTGATGTGTGCAAGCAAAATTATTTTGCATAAAGCTATGGCTCAATCAGTCATTTGGTGACTACTGCTTTAGCCGTTGCCATTGGCCTGCTAAGGAGAACAGATAGCCATACTATATAGAAATATGTCTGAATGATACAAAAAATTATGCTCCATGCAGGAAACTGTGTCACATATTTTTGTACCCAAATGGCCCCTAGGGGAAGCTCCTTAGGTCTGCCTTTTTCAATCTTTCAAAATCATTCAAAATGTGACAGATTTTCACATGTAATGAATCCAGGGTGAATTTGTTGAATTGTGTACGTGTATACAGCTGTATGTTGTGCATAGCCGCAGTGCTGTCTGTAACATGAATGTCGTTGGTTTTTATTGTTCAAGGGAAACTTTGTAGAGTCTTTGGTTTCACATTGCACATGATGGAAATTATACAAAGTTTGACATAAAAATATGCATAATATTTAAACAAGTGAAAGTGATTCGGTAAACTTTCAACAACATTTTGGCTTTTCAGAGAAAATTGATACGGGAATTAAAACTGTGAGGGTCCATCGTTCCATACATGTAGACTAAGTTGTCAAAAAAAATCCAGAAGCTTTGGTCTTAGGGTAAACAAGATGTACCTGTGTGCTTTCATGTTTGTGTGTGTGTTCATATCATGTAAAAATATTGTCATGAATGATCCACAGAATCTGACATGAGAGAGTTATCATGTCAATTTCAAAATTGAAAATTACAGACGTGTATACAGTGTATGGTACATGTACATATATACCCACCAGCGTTGCACCCAGCCCCCGTACCAAAGTGTGGTCAATAGCATATACAGTTGGTAAATTGAAAGGTAATAGGAAATGAAATGATCATTATAATACAAAATGGCACATGTATATGCTTTCACAAAATGGCACATGTATATGCTTTCACAAAATGGTACATGTGTTGGCATTGATCAGCTGTAAACAAGGTCCACCAAATTACCGGTAACACCGTACATGTACTACACGAATGTGCATTAAATGATTCAAAGCCTTCTGGAAATTTGTCCAAATGTTACTTTTTAACAAATTTAAGGAGTACTGTTTATGTGTCACTGCGATTAATTATGGTATCCGACTTTGGTGAAGAAAGGATACATGTATTTTAAAGTACATTGTATGTAACCTTTTATTAGCAGAAATCAAGAAGCAAGTTGTGAAATGGCTTGTAATATGCAATGAATATCGTGAAATCACTTTTCATTGTGTGTGTAAAAACGTGCTGGCTATCTTTTGTAAACCAGTTTTGTTCTTCCTGACAGTTGAGGTCAGTATTTGTTTCTGACCATCACCGGTCACCTTAAGTCTTTGAAGGAATCTGACATAAGATACCATTCATTTTATCAGCTACCATGACTGAATACCAGCAAGAATGATTTCACAAGGTGTTTGGTGATAATTAGGCCAGTGGGTCTTTCTGTAAATTCAGGGACCAAAAGTGTGACTTTTTTTGTCCCTGTTACACCTGTTCTGTGCAATTTGACACGGATATCACCAAAATTGATTCCAAACTATTTCGATTTGTTTAGCAGGTAATTTGCATTAATTCATCACTCTTGAAAATTAGAGAATGTGTTCTGAACTTACAAAATCATATGGTACATGTGACAGGGACACACACAAAATGGAGCCTTAATTTGTAGAACGATCCCAGTATGTTTTGGGAGTAGACAATGACTGTGAAAAGATACTTGTCTTTGTGGTTTTGTGTCACATGCTAGATACTTCTAAAGGCAGATCTTATGTTATTTAGCATCTAATTTCATGATCAAATGAAACGTGTGAGTTGTGTTGTCTGCACTTCTTCACTCTGTGTGTCATGAGCCAAGAAACCAAAATGAATAGTAACATGACTGAATTAACAGGTTGATACAAATAGGCACAAGTATTTTTTTAATTTTGTTTTCAAAGAAAGTACTGTAACAGAACAATTTACAGTGTTTGAACTGTTAATATTCATGTGCTGAAGAGCAAATAGTTAAGGGCATTCTGGTGCGCACACTTTGTTGCAGAAAGGTATTTGTGCTCCTTACAAAGAGATATTGAAGTTGTCCATTTTTCTTTCAATCTTCAAAGCATATGTGCATGCAGCAATACTGATACTTAACTTGCTTGTTCTGTGTTGTTTTTTTAATACACACGTATTCAGGCATCTTAAAATTACAGCACCTTGGTTTTTTTGTCTTGATGATTATGATGGCTGATTTGTTGCTAGTGAGGATTAGCTGATAACTGCAGGTAAGAATGGGCACACTATGCTATGCTTTGAAATAGCAGGGGTGAAGATAGTTAAAAGGCAAATTGAAAAAGGCTCAGCTTTTCTAATCATAAAACATTCCACATATGTTTTGCGGGGGTTTCAGCCATGTTATCTCAATTGTGTTTGTGTCTGGGAACATGATTACTTGTTATACATGTTTTAATTCCAATATAGTGCAGAGATTTAAAAAGTAAAGTTCGTCCTGATTTAAACAAAAAAAAAATTCACTGTTTGAAAAGTGTGGCACACATGAAACATGGCTTATCTAATGAGGTTTTGTAAAGGTGATTGTTAATTTGGGTCTTTCCCCTTTTATATACATGTCCATGTAGATGATACATTTATATTTCCAAATTTTAGACGGGACTTGCACCTCCACTCCTTTACATGAGGGAGTGGGGATCATGAAATTGATTTGGGGTTTTAATTCTCTGGTAATTTTCTGATTTGCAAGTTCAGTGGTGGTGTTTTCGCAAGTAGGGATACTGCAGCACTTGAAATATGCTTGCCATTATTGATTAGTTAAAAATAAATCAATTCATGAAACAAATTTAGAATTTTTCTGTATAAATGAGTAACTTTATTATGTTTTTAAAATGTGCAATGACTTGTCACTTATTTCCAACGGCATATGTTGGAGAGGTTGTTTCCCTTTATAAGTGTGCATATTCACTTGTAATTGATCTTGCTTGTATAAATCAAGTTTATAATGGGTAAAAATTTAGACAGTTTGGAGAGATTGTATCTTTGAAGAAATTCTTGGACTACAGAATATTGTGTATTGCCAAATGTGATGGAATTTACCGTAGCAAAAGTGGTTGTTTTGACCAAACTGTATTTTCTGCAGGCAGGAGACCCCAAAATAAGCTAATGTGCTTGTACTTATCAAACATAGTGCTGTTATTTTTTGTTAGTCTTTGTATCCATTACTTTGGCGTGGACACAACATAAAAGTAAACTTTTTTCAAAAACTGCAAAAACCTTCACCAACAAAGACCAAGGGAACATACGAGTTATTTTTCACAAATCTTTTAATTAAACCACAGTGTGGGCACGTGTTGACATTTCTGTAATATTATATGCCAACAAATAAAATAAAATACTCTATGAATTTTATGAAAGTTACAAATGTACTGCTCTGAGGTTAAAAGGAATGTGTGAACATTCTTATGCAAATCAACATTTAAAGGATGCTGACAGGTTTATTTCAACCTGTTTATAAGCCAATAAAACCATCTGCATTTCTTGTTCTTACTGCCTGTGTCGCAGGAAAAAAAACTGCTGAAATTTCAGTGGATACCACAGACCATGTCACCCTCATTGTAAGAAAAGTCAGACAAATGAATTTTCTCTGTGTTAAAGCGTCTGTTGGTTAAGGATTGCAGCAATATCACAATGTCATTTCCAACACGACATGGGTATTATAGCCCACTAAGATGTGAGTAACCTTGAGAGACCAGTTGATATACGTAAGATAGCCATGTAAGATGTTGAACTTAGTTGTGTATCATGTTGCTACTTCATTATACTCAGGAGAACTGCATAATTTCCCTGATAAATTACAGGCTTTCTCCCTTCAGTGATGGCACATCAATATTAAAATCAACACTTTTTAAGTAGCTGTCCTACTCAATTTCACAATTCAGTATGAATTTTGAAAACGATCAGATAGTTCAATGTGCTTTGGCACATGTACACACTGGATACTAGACATGTTTCATTCACTCAAATTTCAATGAATAGCCATTTAGACTTGAACAAACAATTTGCTCTCTGGTACATGTACGTGTACGAGTAGCTTAGTTCATGTAGAACTTGTCTTTCCTTGTTAAATAATACTTCAAGGAAAGAAGAAAATGGTCGTTCAGTCGTTTTTTAATGTGTCTTTTGTAATGTAGAACGCTTACCCTCAACAGACCTTAACCACTTGCTGCCGGGTGGATTTTTCTTGAGCAAGACACGATGCCAGCTCATTTCCAAGATTTTCTGTTTTCAACGTTCTTCAAAAATTCATCATTTCATTTAATGGCCATTTATACCAAAAGGAAGGACTCTTTGGGCACTATTCTAAAGCTGACAGGTAAAATTTATTGACTCCTGAATATTTCTGCCAGGCCTGCAGCCTTGGAAAAAGAGCCCAGATTTTGCAGTGTTACGTAAGATTCTTTTGTTCCCAACATCTTCTGACATCTTTTCAATAGGGGCCAGATTAGCATGCAGCGTTGCTGTGCGGCTCATCGCTGCGGTGGTGGAGAGCTTTTGTCCCGGGTGGTTATCCACTCGTTCTAAATGCCTCAAACCGTGGTATACTGTTTCAAAACAAGTCTGGATTTTCTCCACTACTGAGAGCGAAAAATGTCGGTAATGCCCAGCAGCTCAGTCTTTTGTGCTGAGCACGGTCTTTTGTTATAAGGCCCAACTCTATTGTCCCAGGTCCGGGCTCCCCGGCTCTGTATATAAAGCCTATGTACTCGAAGTGGTTAAGCTACATGTCATTCGGCAATAACCAACCTCAGTGTACCCTGTATGTGTAAATGTGTACACCGATGTCTTGCTTTGTTAATGTAATGATTACCCATGCCGAAGACCATGATTGTACATGTATGTATTGCATATGTGAACATTAAGCGAACTTTCAAAATTGCAGAAGGGGGGGGGGGCTGGTGCCTACCTCCATGCTACATCTTATTTGCTGGGAGTTGTCCAACTCTGCCAAGTACGCTGGTTAGAAAATTGCATCATCCCTTTCACATGTACATTCTGGAGTACGACAATTACAACATATACGAGTACATGTGCATAGAAAGTAGTCTAAAGAACATGCGAATCCACAGTCAGAACCAGATAAATTTAGGTATAAAAAAAATAAACATTGTTTTGCAAAATCAAGTGAAAGGCATGCACATGTCCGCTGTAAATCAAGTGAAAACATGCTTCTTGGTGCCAGGCACAAGTGTGCACTCATATTTTGTACATGTAAAGGATATGGTATCAGTCATGCCCAGATGTGGCAGGCTGGTTCTATGGCTGCAGTTTGTTTTGCCAGAAGCAGCACCATGATAATGATACATGTAGGTGTACCATGTTGATAAATATGGCTAATTCATGCACAGCCTAGTACATGTCCTGCCTGAGACTTATAATCTATCTGGCTGTAGACCATTAACTGCCATGAAGACAGTTGTGCTTATCAAACTGACAGATTATTCAGAAAGCTTGCAGCACCAGAGTGACAGTGTCACACGCTTCTCACAAAGCAGCTGCATCGTGATCACAGCAGACCACATAATACATATGTCATTGTAATACTAAAAACATTTGCACACATGAAGATATCATTCCTGAGACTTTAGAGGCTTCTGTTAAATTATCAACTCCAGCTTGTCCCTTTCCATTATACATTAGTAAAACATTTCAGACAGGATCAAATTTCATAATTATTGGTTGCCATTGCAAACTGTTACGGTTTTGAAGTCTGCAGCCTACATGTACTTACATGTAACTTCAGGAATGTGCAGGTACCGGTAGGTCTAACACATGTAATTGTGTGTGCAATAGCAGAACTGAAAATGTACCAGAGAACAGCTGCTTCAAAAACTACTCATGCTGGTAAAATGCCTCATTTCTTTAAAGAACAAAAAATTGCCACTAAAAATGTAAGCTAGAAGTGCACTTGTAATTCATCTGCCGTGCAGATACATGTACACCAGCAGGGATTTTATATATTTTGGTGCTTATTCTGTTTATGTGTTTCACAATCTGGCATAGTCCATGCAGATGCAGCAATTAGCTTCTGTTAAGATTTGCAGAAGCTGCTCCGCTGTTTGATTAATGTACAATGCACATTCCATCCTTTCAAATTTAAATCAACTCAACCTACTGATAATGGTAGAAACACTATCCCAACGTGTTTAAATGAAACAATGTGAATTTTCCCTCTTGAAACATGATCCATGTTTATTTTTCTCAAATAATCATGGGCCATTTTTTTCACAGACAAATTAGCTTTATACCAACCATTGAAATTAGAAACTGGATTTCCACGGGGTAATTTCCTTCCTTTTTTTCCAGTTTTTGAAATGAGGAAAACTGCAAGAGGCTTTAATAAGGGAAAAGAAACAGAAATATCCAACTTGATTGAACAATTTGGCCTAGTACCGCAGTAGCAAGGACCGTCTTGATGACACAGGTCTTGGCTCCTTGGCTGAGTAACCTTCAACTAGCTGAGCATCTGAGATGGACCCACCCTCAGAGGGTTCTCTTTGTGTCACCGTGGCAGGATTGGAGTCCATGGTGCCAGTTAGGGGGCTGAGATCCAGAGGCGGGACCTCAGGGATGGAACCAGGCAGGGAGACAAGGTCATGAGAGCTGTCATCCTGGGGCTCCTGCTGCTCCTCCTTCCTTGATCTCCCCGATGGAGGCCCACACCCTTCGTCTGCCCCTTCCAGGAGATGCTGCTGGGATGAGGAGGTCTGGAGAGAAGTCCGACTTCCTGATGACTCCGGGCCCAACTTCAGCATCCTTCTACGGGGTGCAGCCACTGGGAGAGACTGCAATGGCAACTGTTTGCTCCGAGTTCTTGCCTCTGGTTGGGCAGTTTCCTGGCTGCAATGCTCAAAGTGGGCGTCTTGAGTTTCTAAGATTTGGGCATCCTGATTGACCCCCTGCACATCCTTCTTCCAGCTATCACTGGAAGAATGTTGACCCACTAACAAGTGATTGTCCAGCTCCCTGTGAACTTCAGCAGTTGTCTCCATGGCTGTTGGCAATTTCTGCTTCTTGGTTCTCTTCTTTGCATTTTCTCCAGGAGTTCCGTCAAGTCGGTCAGAGTTTGGCACTTGATGCAACGTTGCTCCTTGCGAATTTTCTACGAGCAGAGGTTCACTGATAGAGTCCTTTCTCTCCCTTTCAATTTCATTTAGAGGTCTGATTCCAGTCACTTCTTTTTTAGTCCTAGCTGAGGTCCTTTTGGATTTCTTAACATGGGTAATGCCGTTTACGTTGCTACCTGAAAAATTCATTCCTCTGCCGAATTGCTTCATGTCCGGTTGCCACTGGTTACCATTCATCATCAAGTTGGGGTGGCTGCTGTGATTGAGCTGCCACTTCTCTAAAGGGTGTGGGTAAGCTGCTGCTAACTGGTACCCACCACCAGGCAAAACTGCTGTCTGTGTAGGGTTGCTGAGGGAACCCCTGTGGTGCACTCGACCAATGGGTATCTCAACCAGGCTTTCGGCTGACGAGGAGTGGTAGTCCAGGGCGGGGGTGGGTGAGTCAAAGCTGATGGCTGCGGGAACGGGTATGGGATGCTGCTGAGGTTGTCCGTCGTGGGAACTCACAACAGGCCGCCGCATGGTGGGAAATTGCTGTGTGAAGAAGAGGTCCTCCACAGGCTCTGTGAGGAAATGATGAGGGGAACTTTATTTTATACAATTTGTAAAGCTCTACAACTGTGGAGTATTAACCCCTTCGCGCCGGGAAGCGGTAAGAGCCGACATAAAAATCGAGATCCCTCAGCCCGCTTTTCATCTATTATTCTCGGCCCACGCTTGAGCGAACACGGTGAAAGAAAGCATACCCTGGCTCTTGTATATATGGTGATTGGCCTTTGTGTGTTGCCAAGAAATGAAAAGGCCAAATGTGCACCATAATTACCAGTTTCACAATAGTCCCCACTTTGAAACGAGGCAACGGGAATGTGGAAGCGTGAGTAGAGTCGCATGCCACTGAACAATGAGCCTTTTCACTGTGTAAATCAAAGCGTGCAGAGCACGCAGGGCCACAAACCAAGAATTTGCGGTTTGGCAGGTGGCCTCTGTGGCCAAGCGAGGCTGGAATTCTCGGAGTCGGCTTTCAGAAAAAAGTCCCACCGTCAAGGGGTTAAATACTGCGATAAACATAAATGTCACACAATATTTCAACTGCAGAAAGAAATGAAAAAAAGATGTTCATTTGGCGGCCGATTTTTTTTTCACTGTACATGTATTTGCTGAACAGGATTATTTCAAAATAATAAAAAAAACATCTGGTTTTGACAAAGCATACCACATTAGTACATGTGCATTAGGTTTCAAAGGTGACACTTCATTTCTCAGTAGAATGGATGACTCACGAAACTACCTACCGGATGGTGGGTATTGTGGGTGCATCCCAGCTGGGGTCACCAATGGCAGGCTGAACCGCCTGACGAGGTGCTGCTCCAGATAGGTCTGGGGCATGCTGTGTGCCAGGTTCATCTGGGAAGAAGGGAACGGGTGGCCCATTAGGGCTGGCTGGAGAGATTCCCGGGCTGTGAGGGAACGCAGGTGATGGGGTTTCTTTTTGGACTTCTTTTTCTTCTTGGGCTAGGAAAAATGGAAAACTTGAGATTGGGTGTAAATACAGTTTTGCTACTGTACATGTTATTTTGCCGAAATTGTCAGAGGGATTCTGTCCTGCCCCCCTCACTTACATTTCAGCAAAGATATGTTGTCACAAACATAAAGTGTGAACCTTGAGACATGTAGCCATGCATAGAGCATTTTAACATCTTAAGCTCAATCACGCAAAGCATGTCGTCATTTATAATAGGGTGGTCAGTTTTCAACCTGTTATCTGAAAATGATCAGATATTCTCATGCCGGCCCACAGTGTCGATGAAAGCTGTTGCTGCATCCTGCACTGAATATCTGGCACACTTTTGAAAATGGTACACCCCATTTTTCATATCAATGCGTATGCCTGAGAGACGTCAGATCCAGAACCAAAATTTAAAGAGGTCAAATTGTTTTAAGGGCTCCCCAAACTTTTGGAAATGTTGGAATGTAACCTTTTCTAGCCTTTCTAAGGGTTAAAACTACATTTTGGTGCATCTACATACTTTTGGAAGGTAAGAAAAGGAAATAACCCTCCCCACACATACACACATGTAAATAATTTTTATTTTTTCAAAGTATGGTTTTCTCTTTTTGGGGGCAAAAACCCCTTCGCCCAAGTCTCTCTGGAATTTGCCCTGGAAGACAACATTGGAAACACTTGAAATTATTGTAAGTTACTGCAGGTTATTAGTGTACTCCCACGTAACAATATCTTTCTGCCTAAAACATCAGGCTACCTTGGGCTTGCTGTCAGTAACTGGTATGCTATTCTGCTGTTGTTGCTGCAGTTCCTGCTTGATGAGAGGCTCTGATATCACCAGCTGCTGTTGTAAGTTGGAGTTGGAGTTGTTGTTGGACTCTAGTTGCCTTGTAGTACTGTCTCTGGAGTGGAAAGAGCCACACGTCCAAATAATCAGTGAAATGGGACGCTTCATAAAGGAATTTCAACTTCTCCACTATAAACTTGTGGTGCACTTCAGGGTCGAAACTGAACACCTGACTTACATGAACCTCTTTTTGAAGGGGACAAAGAAAAGATGCAGGCCACTCTAAGCTTACGACAACGAATAGGCTTCTGTAGGCCTACATATTCAGCCTTCCATGGTAGGCTATATGTACATACACATGTACATGTCTCATGGTCTTTCTCAGGCAGTGTCCCATGGTATGAGTTACATGTAAATGTATGGTGTATGGGCACCCAAAAAAAACAAGCACACCAAAGGAGGAAAATGTATGGCTAGTGGCAACATTCATTTTCCAGATAAAATCTTTGCCCACAAACAAAGCCAAGATTTTCAAATGTGCATGCAAACATAGCCTCAGTCTACACTAATTTTCCTGTGCAATGCAATTCCATATACAGTCACCGCCGTGTACATGTACATGTACTGTTCATATGTAGATGATGTAGTGACTTCTATTGTTTTTTTCTTATCAACAGTTAATGCACGTACTGTTTACATGTAGATGATGTAGTGACTTCTATTGTTTTTTTCTTATCAACAGTTAATGCACGTACTGTTTACATGTAGATGATGTAGTGACTTCTATTGTTTTTTTCTTATTGTCACGACGTTCACTAGTCATCATGTAATCATTCAAACTAGTGAATGTGCCCAGAAACACAAACAGTTCCTTGAGCATGGTGGTCCAAAGTGCTATGAAGGCAATACAAGAAATTCTTTCCCACTTTTGATTCAAATGGCTGAGAAACTTTGCATTTTTATTAAAGTGACCCATGACATGTACATACATGTACACCTACAGCTATATAGCTAAGTGGAGTAGCTTGTTTGACTTTTAAAATAAACCCTGAAATCTAAAAAGCACAGACATGCAAACACAAAGTGCACACACCAAAATAAATGCAGAGTGGATGGATCATTTAGTGCTGCAATCATGATAGGTTCATGTACCTATTGGGCTGTACATTTAATTGGCAGAATGGTGGCCTGGCTTGGTCATTTTGAGCTTACACCTGCCAGCTGATGGCAAGAAGTTGGCTTGATTGGACATGCAAGGCTGAAATGGTTGCTACGCCTACAAGCACAAAACACAGGACAAAAAAATATTGGTGGAAATACAGGCATAAAGAAGCAGGGGGAAAGGTTGTGAGAAAGGAGGGGAAGAGGTGAAGTACAGGCGGGGTGAGAAAGAGCATGAGATAGAGGAGGGTATATGGGGTGGTAGAGGGCCTTTTGGTTTCACACGGATCCAGATCACGATCAGTGATCCGACGCTGGTTCACTGCCGCCAGAACCCCGCATAATGGATAGAGCGAACCAGCTTCGGGAGTACTGATTGAGATCCAAATCCATGTGAAACAAACAGGTGCATAGAATACCGGAGTGTAATGCCATTTTGAACCTGGAAAGGCAGTGCGAACGAATGGAGTATGAGCACGTGTTGGTTCATGTACTGGTTTTTACGCAAATGCATTTTACATGGACATAATAGTCATGATAGTTCATGCGACGGCTTCACTACTCTTTAAATTATTCCATGGGGTGGATACCCAAATGGCCTTCACTGAACTGCATGTACAAGTGAGAACGAACTACACGTTCATGTACATACAAGAAAGCAGACAAATGCATGTGCATGTAAATGGACATGCATGTACCTGTACATGTAAGATAGACATAAAAGATATGAAGGTCAACACTTTCGCAAAGGCTTGCATCAACAAAGCTGTAGTCATCTTTTGATGTAAGTCGATGTGTATACTGAGAACACACTTAGTGGGTTTAACAAGCATGGCAAACAGCAGCAAGATCTGGCAATTCAAACTTTGACCAGTCGGGATCCATGTACAATTTCAGCTACCTGGGAAGACAGAGGGTGTTTCAGAGAGGACAATTTCGACTGGAATCCAGAAAGATGAAGTCTTCATCTGTTAGTAGTTGTGACTAGCTTTGTGACCCAATGTTCCTATTCCAACTCCTCCCAAGTACACGTACTTGAAAAAGGATTGAACTACGGCTTAACATTTTGACCTGGCACTGCAGGTGAAAAAGCAAGGAAATAAAACAAGTGCGACCTTCAAAACAGTGATGGGAGGAGCAAGTATGGTACATGTACACGTATGCATTGTACAGTAAACTGAGAGGATGTTGACTGTTGGTCATGAGCGTCACCAGGCTTTTTCAAAGGATGACAAACCACTTCTTGGGGGGTTCATTGGGAGGCGAAGCAAAAAGAGGGAGCTCTGGGGTCAATTTTGAGATGTTTCAAGCAAAGGTGTAATTTTCGTCCTTGATCATCTGTATTTCATCATTTCTCTTGTTTTTCTTTTCCATTTTTTTTCCTTTTCATTTTTCTATTTTTATTTCTTGGGGGAGCACCCCTTGCTTCCCCATTCATGACGCTCATGCTGTTGGTGATATGTGTTTGTTTTAAAGATCAATGAGAATTTAATAAGAATATATCTGTGACAGCTAGCTGTACATATATAGGCCAATGTTTTGACTTGCCTACGTGTAAGTACATGTGGAGTGTATGTTTTACCAAATGAAAGCAAGCATACCAAACACTGCTTAGGAAGGACTAACTGTGATGCAAAGAACTCAGCACTTGAGATCATTTCTACCGCACAGCATTTGGTGAGCTTACTTGGTGCCACTTACTTTTTGGTATCAGTGAGCTCGATCTCCTCTTTTGCTTCGGGCAGAGGTGCTACTTGGTTATGGCACTGAAATAAGAAAATCAGTAAAATAAACTACAAAGGTGCCACATGTACATGTATTCACCTACATGTACAAACCAGGAGCAAAAATCCGTAACCAACGACTGCAGAAAATCTCCTTCAATCCCAGTAGTGGTTTATAAACAATGTGGCCACAGACCATGCGACTACACGTACATATTTGTATATACATGTACACATTTAAACTTCACAACGCAGCCGTCCTTATAACGTTGTTCACTTTCAACGGTAACATTTATATTGGTGAGAAATGGCATATATAGCGTCAGACATCACAATGCAATTGGCCATAATGGCATTTCAGCATCACGTTACTACTACCTACGGTTGTGTTATAACGACCATCATGTGGCAAACATGATGGTTGTTATAACACAACCGTGATTCTTACACACAACAGACCTTAAGACATAATCCACATTTACAGTTTGACTGACCTTGCAACATCCTTTTTTCCTTGGTCGCTGTTGCTGGGATTCGACATCCCCACTGATGAATGCATTGCGGTCTTGCATGACGTAGTCATAGGTGCTCATGCCTTTGCAGACTGCAGTGAGAAAGAATCGCAGAGACGGGTGACAGGCTTAAATACTGTACAAATAACCTTCGCTGGTGTGGAACTTCATTGGTGTAGCTCTAATGATGAAAGATTTACACTGCTGTTTGGCTGCTTGAAACAGTTGCGGCTGTGGTCTTTCCATGACATTTCACTGGCCAACATCAATCGGCCACCAGTAGTCAACTACTGACCATTGATGTCTGCTACCAATGTTGCATATAATGAATACAGGTTACCATGCTGGTGAAATTGACTACTGATTGACAAATGTCGGCTGACCAAAACAAGGCCACGGAATAACACTGCCCACCTTTTCATATTGGTAGCACTGTGTATTTAACTTAAGGTTCTTAACTTTTACAGTAGACAGTGAAAGTCGTTGAAACCACTCAAGCATACAACGCTTGTGAACATGGTTTAATCAAAGGGGAAGAATCATGGATCATTTCCAATGCTCGTCTAGTCTTTGACTCTATCTTTTTTCTGACCTTAGAACAACTTAAAGGCTACTTCAAATGAAGAGAATTTATTCGACTTTATATCATAGAGTTTGATGTTCCTGAGGTAACCAATATTCATAGTTAGCAAAATCTCAAAAAAGGGGCCTGAAATTTGGGTAATGCCAATGACAGATGCAATATTGAGGTTTGACACCCTTGTGACAACCTTAACAGAGTTTACCTTTAAAGTAATACACATAGCTTTGGCCCGAACTCGTAGATCTACATGTACAGTACTTACTAAGATACAGATGGAAGCCCAGGAGATGACCCAGAAGGCAAAGGGTTACAAACAACAGAACAGCCATGACAATGGCCACTACAAAGAAGGCAATTCCGGACACCTCCGCAAATATCCGGAGACCAGTGCGGTAGGCTAACAAGGGGTCGGAGTTGTCAGGTGACGGACTTGTTGAGTTGTTGAGTATTTGCCCAGACATGGATTCATCGGTTGTGACTGTTGGCTGAGTGGTTGCAGCATTGTCTAAAACAGAAAATGTGTCAAATTTGGCAAAGCTTTGAAATCAACTGACGAAATGTGGTTTGAGGATGGGAACCCCACGTACATTAGCTTCCTAAGGTGTTGGAAGTTGAAAAGCAAGTTCTTGACGAGAAATCAAGGGGGCTGGTTTGTAAACTTGAATATTAAAGGGAAGCTATCAGCACAAACGAAACTCCCTTCTACACAGTTCTCTCAACTGCCAACAATTTGTAAAACTAGTTTCAGAAGTCTTGGAAAGGAAACAATAACCACTGAAAATATGTGTGTAGCTACATGTAGCATGCCCAGCCTGTGTAACAGATCAATGATTGTTCCATACTACACAAATGAACACTGTATCAGCTTTTGGTATCTTTGTAATGCTACGTTGAGCTAACTGGTCAGAATGTGGCTTCCATTCATGGATACGTATGAATATAGCGATTTTTGTGCACACTGTACTTCTACATGTATGTATGACTACAGGGCTGTCAGTCGTATTAGAAAGCAGTCCCCATATAACAAATTATTTCTGGAATAATTTTCCTAGAAAATGTTAAAAATCACAAGCACTTGAATAATACGTGTAATTTGACTATTAAATGTCATGATCTGACAAATGCATGTATGTGTCAAGCTGAACAATATGCGTGTGAGTTCAGGTGCTACCAAAGTTGTAACATCTAATTGGATTAGTCTATAAAGACAAGGTTCAATACCTCATGTTTTTTCAAAGACATCTGCACGGAAGAAAAAAAGGCAATTCTAGGATGAGAGAGACAAACTTTGTCCAACCAAACTGTAACCAAAATTTACAGGGAAGTACGTGTAAAGTTATTCATGCCATCTGATAACAGCTCTCCTCTGCAGGATGATGGAAAAACAGGATGACAATAACTTAATGCTAGGGGTCCTCAGACTTCAAAGGGTGGAAATTCTAAAGCACTAACCGAATAACTCTGGATGAAGCAGCCTTGGGTTGACCCAGTAGACTATGGAGATGTACAGGAAGACAGCAAAGACAAACAAACAGCATAGAAAGGCTGTGCACAGACAAGAGATAAACCACCTGCATGGAGCAAACATTGAAGGTTAATGTCTGACAGTGAGAATGATAGAACTGCAGAAAAAGGTGTAAAAAGTATAACACATGCTTTTTAATGATGAATTTACATCACCCACACATCCAAGTCTAGTTTACAAAGGGTGATGCACATGTACATTCTAAAGTCATTATCCCAAGCATTTGATATTCCAACCTCAGGTTTAGCAATATTAGCCATTCAAAATTATTTGACATGGATTTGATGTCACTGTTCCACATGTGAAGAACTACATGTACACCTACATGTATGTACATTTTCAGGGCATAATTTGTTCACAAAATCCTACCGAAAGGTTTGCTGAAACTGAGGCTACAGACATGACAGAGGGAACTTTGCCTAAATCTCAGGGCAATTGATGTAAATCAAAAGCAAGATCAAACTCAGCCAACAACCTACGTGTAGATTTCCAGATCTCAACCCAAACTCTTCCTGAGTACTTCACATAAGTACTTGTACATGTAGGCCATCAGGAAAATCAATGCACAGGCATAAGTCACCCACTGAGTCACTGAATGTGATTGAGATGGTGCAGTACAGTGTCAGGTGCTTTTATCCCACTTGCAGTCAGCCTTTTGTGAGTTAACTTTGACCCAAATCTGGTACACTGAGTTCTTTATATTCATGTAAACATAACAACTTGAATTCTCCTTACTAAACCCATTGTTGCTAAACCTCGTGATTCAGGGCAAGCTTTTGCTTAGTTACCGGTACATAACAGACGCCTAGTAACAATACACTGGTTCTAAATGGATAAGGAGAGCGCAAAGGAACCAGTCCATTCCAGAGATGGTGTCCACTACGCGAAAGCTTGCCCCGAATCACCAGGTATAGCAACAGTGTCTTTAATCCGGGGAATTCAAATCGTTATGATGTGCAGTCAGATAACTACATTGTAAGTGCACTACATTTTATTCAAATTTAACTCGCAAATGGTTTATTAATGGCCTTGCCTTGATGAAACAGCCAAAAGGCCTTAAAGTCCTTACAGTGAAAAGATGTTCTGTGGTCATTTCCAACAGTGGCTTAAAACTGAAGCTAAATACCAGTGAAAGGTAACTACATGTACATTTTTATTTCACATTTGTTACCGCATATTGTATACCTGTAATTTCTCGAGCCCACACAGTTGTTCAGCCACTTGCAATGATGATCAAAATCAGCGACGCACTTGTTGCATGAACTGCAATGCTTGGATTTCAAGCCACTGCAGGCAAAACAAACAATCATTACAATAAAAGAAGTTCAAATATGGTAGTACTCAAAAGACATTCCAAAGATGTTCCTAACTGTAAAATACAATCCCGAGGCATCATCAGGGTCAGGTAACGTACATTTTATGGTTCCATTTTTTGTTGTTTTTTCCACAAGGGAGCAGGTAAAAGTGCCATGTCTATTAGGTAGGTTCATTTGCCTAACAAGCTGCATAGTGAGTAATTAATTGGAAATGCATGTACCATCACTTACACATCCACCTCACAGAGGTAGCAATGGTTGTTTTCAATGACATGTTTGTGCTGTGTCCTGTCAAACGTCGGCATGACCTTCTTGTGTTTGCGTAGGGTGTTGGGGTCGGCAGGGTTGATAGTCAGACAGACCAGGTGGGTTAAGACGTGCACAGCCAGCATCACGCCAGCTATCTGTGGTTGTGCAGAGTTATGGAAAACAAGACTGAGATCGACCAGTAATTCTGACCTTTAGCTCTGTGAGTAAGCAGGGAAATCACGCAGAGAATTTTGAGATCCCCAATGAACTGCATGCAATGTACATGTGGATTCAGGTACACAAACCATCTTGGGGGAAAAAGCTTGTGAAAAAGAAACTGCTGCTTTCTACAAAAAAGAACAAAAATGAAGAACAAGCTTTTATCAGCATGATCAGTGTTTAATCCAACAAAAGGTTTATACAGGTAGCAGATGCCTATATTTATGCATTATCTACATCACTTGCATGTATTAAGATGAAAATTGTGCGACAATAAAAGATGGCATAAATGAAAAAGGATACCATGTGACAGGCTGGCTGCCAATGATATGGAATGGTAGGTACAGCCATGCCATGAAACATCACCGCAAAAAAGGCAATGAAGATCCAGGCCACAAACTGCAGCGGGTGAGGCGGGCAGCTCCATCCATTCTTGCGGGAGTTGGTCCTGTAGGTCATCCCGGCCTTGCTGGGAGTGGACTTCTTGTTCATCTTTGGCCTCGAGTCCTTCAGCTATTTACATGTGATCTGTAAGGGCCATGGTTTACATGTACATGTAAATGTGCTTTACTATGACACAGTTTACTGGGACACACACCTTTGTGGTCTGATTCCTGATGAGCCTTGAGAAGAAGGCTGTTTCCAACTTGGATGTATTTGGCAACAATTGGGTATTATAACACATGTAGTAAGAGTGACATACAGACATCGTCTGTTTTCTCTTGCAGTGGTTTACAGCCATCAGAAGTGATAACATTCCCAAAAGTGCAATTAAGCGGTGAAAATTCTGAAGCGTCAACATGAACCGGTACATAGAAAACAGACTTTTTCAGACAAAGGTTCATGGGGTTCATGCACAGGGTGTCAAGTGATGTCCATGTATGGAACTGTACGTACAGTAGATGATGCATGGAAGACGTGAGCTCGGGGACTGTTCCCCTAGCACATTTGTTCCATCCAGCCCTAGCCATGAGTACATGTATATGGTCTTCTCCTCACGACATATTGGAACCACGCTGCACGAACTTTCTGTGAATGGGTGCAAAGGTTTGACATTGCCAAGGAATTTTGGAGAGAAAAAGAGCCCATACAACTGTATGCATCCTCCGACATGTTCAAATGCCTGTACCTGTTCAGTACTCTACACATACATCTCAATAGCACTGTGTGTGTGAGATACATAAACTCAGAAAATGGTTGAGCCAATATACATGTACATGTAGCCTACTGTATGGATGGCAACCCGTGAGCAGTTTTCCAGACCAGCAAATGTGGTTATCATCTCATAAAACCACCCCAGAACATGAGAACGATGGGGTTTGCTGTCATGCCCCATTCCCGTGGTAATGTGTCATGACAACAGCCTCAACAGGTCTAAAGGTACATGTACATGTACTGTATGTTTCAAAAGTCCAAGGCTGATAACCCCCCCCCGACTTTTCAAACCTTGTCTCATCAAATGGTCAAAATCTACATGTTCAGAAGATGAAATTTAGAGTTCTATATACCAAAAACACTGATTTCTGTCAAAATGTTAAAATAGCCATCACAAATTGATAACATGTCCTAAAAAGTGACATTCATCTAAGAAAATTCCAAAGCATTTACTTAGAAAACACTTTTTTCAGACAAGTCTAGGTTTGTGAATAGGGGCATCAAGTGTTGTCTGCATTTTCTTTCCTCTATGCTACTGTACATGTATATGGAACTCTTTCCCAGAAGTTGTCAAGAGATCTACAGTATCTATGATTAGCTCAAACTGCTTTTCTGGTGAAGATTTGTAATGAAGGTTGTACTCCTATATCCAAAAATCGATACAGAAAGAGAGCCAAAGATGGATATCACTTGACACCCTGAGCACAAAATCTATGCGACAGATCTGAAAAGTTCTCAGTGCATTCTGTACATGTAAGTACACTGACTTTATGTTATCACCTGCTCATACATGTTACCCACAGCATGGAGGATATGGGTCCCTAACCATCCGTATTGGGTACAAACATCCCCTCGTGCCAGTCATGCCAGTGGTACAACCAGACGACATCTAAACATGCTCAAAAGAGTCTTTGCTAGATAGAAAAGAAAGGTACACAGGGGGCCTCCTACACACGCTAGGCCTACATGTACATGTACCGGTAGGGGGCCTACATGTGGAAGTAGCTTGGCTAAATTAAGGGTATGACGGGATGGATGTCCGACAGCTCAACCAACACGAGTCAAGTTGGCAAATGGTCCAGTTGACCTGTTCCCCAGATACATGTACATATATCGCAGACTGCCCCCTTTTCCCTTCCCACAGTGCCTTTCTACCACCGTGCAAAATCACTCACACGGTATCAGCAATAGGCCTAAGGCTTATAAATGTTTCTAGCATGTCTTTAGCCTTTTTAGGGTCTCTTTGTCTGACTCAACTACTAACTAGGCCTGCATGTTAGCCTACTCTATTTTCTCTGAGTAAATTTGCCTTTCCTTTCTTAAACTGAGATTTATTAGGGCCTAGCTTGGGCCTAATTATTTTAGTGAGAATTTATATTACGCATATTATAGCCTAGGTTCGTAGGCTAGAGTAGAAATGTTTCATTCTGATATTGAAACACTGTTTTGCAAGAGCGAATAAGCTACACACAGAAAGCAGTGCATGGCTCTCTGACTCAAATACATGAAAAAAGACAACAATGTTGAATGTTTATCATGTACAGTACATGTACATGATGTGCGAGCGAGCCCAACCGCTAACGTTAGGCCTGTGCATGTGAAATTTAATTTCAGAATCTGCTGTCGAAAAAAAATCCAAAATCCACGAATTGGATGACTCACCTACTGGTTCTTCTCATTTTCACTGGAGTTCAATAGTAATACAAGCTTTATTTACAATCATGGAATTTTTCAAAGAGAATATATTCAAAATATCCAGTACATACGGCAGCGACTATGTCTAACCCAAAGATAGATACAGTACATATACATGTAGACACACGGAGCTTCAGATCAACCATACGCGATCCGCGATCAACAAAATGTCTCCGAGCCAAAATGTATTCATTGACAACCACTTATGCATATTCATCATATGCAAATTTTGGACTCGCGCATCTAAACACAACTGGAAGTTAGTGGAAGCAAAAAAATTGTAAACAGAGTTATAAATCTGCAACTTTTATCTGATGGGTATTCTTAAAGGGTGCAAACGGTTTGTGAGAACTTCGAACCGGGCACAGACAAGAGTTCGCGGACGATTTAAAAGAGACTTACAAATAACTTCAGGGTCAAGTCCACTAATTCAAGCCCCATTGAAAACAGTGTAAAATCAACACCGTTCAGGGCCCAATGAGCATGCACGCCAACATCCCCGAGATTTCTGAAACACAAATGAAATTCTTATCTGGTCACTTATCTTTCAATTTTTTGTGGGTTAACCAATTACATTTTTAATTATTCCCACAAAACAAAATCACCGCCCAAAAAGTGATTTTTCCGAAGTCTGATTGCAGCCATTTTTCAATTAAGTGGCAACCCTCAACTTTCTCGGGCACTTAGGACCATTTTTCAACCGTAGTTTTCAGCCCTTCTGCCCTCATATGAAAGCTCCAAGACCCAGAGAGTTGATCCTGGCAACGATTTACACAATCTCACCATTTTGGGGGCCAAACAATCTCCTTTTTCAAAAGATACTGCGGGTGGGGGCACTTTTAATGCTAATGAGCTGGTCAGAAATTCTCAGGCTTGAATTAGTGGTCTGCACCCTTCAATTCGTTATCAACAGCGCCCTCAAGTGGCGGTTATGTACATTACCTTGGTCGCTGGTAATCACTTGTTTTTTGTGAAAGAAATAGAAGAAAGTACCAGCTTTTGAAAAGACTTCCGCATTTACGTCGTCTGCGATTTCTTGCCGAAACACTTGTCCGCATTTGCGCTTGTTCTTCCGTGGTTACACTTTTATGGGGATATCGTTTCGTAAAAGCAAAAAGTGAGGAGAGCAGTCCGGGCATCAGTCATTCACCATGGCAGGAAGAAAAGTTCATGTTTTGCAGACTGCAGACATACCATCTGCGGTGTGTGAATTCGTGGCCGAGCAGAGCAAAGCGGCTGTGCGGGATCGAGGAGTGTTCTACCTCGGCGTTTCGGGAGGAAGTGTCGCTAAATTCATGATCGAGGGTTTACCTAAGATCCAGGGTGTGGAGTGGGATAAGTGGCATGTGTTTTTCTGTGATGAGAGGCTGGTACCGTTTGATGACAGTGATAGCACATACAGGATTTACAGAGTAATTTTCTTATTTCGATTTTGCAACTTTATGTGTGATTTTTTAATTTGGACAAATTAGGCCTACTGTGAGGGAAACTGGTCAAGTCGTCCTGGGTCAAATCGTCCCCACGTCAAATTGTCCCCGGGTCAAGTCTTTCCCCAAGTTTTATCTATGAATTTCCTTTCTTTTTAGGTACATCAACACGTACATGTAGAAGAGAAAGAAAAGACAGAGACTCATACATATACATGTACATGTATATATACTCATTCATTCAAAATATTTCATTTGTTCTACGCAGGTAGCTTTTGAAATCTATGGTGGCAAAGACGTGCCACACAAGATATTTATTAAAAGGGTTGTTCCTGGTGTGTGCCAATGTAACAGCCCATACATGTAGGCCTATTCTTTGAATTGTCAAAGCAATTTGAACAACTTTTAATTTCAAATCTGCAAGTAGTCAGTTTATTTAAATAACTTTCTGAAATCAGTAATGCGGAAATGAATTTTAGTTATTTTGAATAACTAGGAAAATCAGGTTGTTTCAAGAGGTTTAAGTTGGTTTTGTTTAAGTAGGGGAGGCTGTTTCTGCTCTGAGAGCACTACCAAGGCGGCGAGCTGAGCATGTCCGGTCTCCTTGCCAAATGTAAGCATCTCACTGGACCATCGCTGTAGGCAAACCAGGCCTGAGTCATCACACCATCCGGCTCTTTCAGAGATTACTCAGTCCTGTCTGATATATTGATTATTAATATTTGATTATCAGATGAAATACGATAAATAACTTAAAATAAAATGAATAGAAGACTTGAAAACTTGAAAAGAAAAAATTAAATACATTAACCACCCCCCCAAAAATAGATTACCCAGTAAAAACTTGATAAGTAAAAAACAAGATAAATAAATTATCCCCCCCAAAAAAATCACAGTAAAATTATATATTACATGTATAATGTAATTATTTAGATGGGGGAGGACTTGACTAGGGGACGAATTGACTCAGGGACGACTTGACCAACATTCACTGTGAGAGGCTGTTCAAACTTGTACACTTCCACACTGTACTGAGCAGAAGCAAAGTAGCAATTAAGAACGTTTTCTGACATTGCAAACATGCTATTCTGTGTTGTTTTCTTATTTAACAAGTTTAACTTTATTTACTCACATTTTCAGACCCTGAGCTATAAGAAAACATTTTCTAACAAGTTGCTTGGATATGATATTCTCCTTAAGGGCCATCCGATGTGCTCAAAATGTGATTTAGTCTGATGTGGTGTTTATTCTTTGTACTGCGTCAATGAAATCTGTCACTTGGAGCATACTTGTACATGTATGGTCCTGGTATTTTCTCTGTAGTTGTGGAACCAGACACTGAAAGATCCCTTTTTTACCAAGTTGAAGTAAGTTAAAGAAATTTAGAAATTGAAAGTGAAATGTTGAAGACCTTGTCTTTGCCTCGTAGAACTTTGGAGAATGTTTTTTATAGTTATATCAGTTAGCATAATTTTAATTAGCTTTTTTTCAGAGAGACTTGGGGTCTTATCAGCGTGGATATAGCACAAAGTGAAAGTATTGATAACCATTTTCAGGTAAGTCCAGGTAATTGGTAATGTCTTATATGTCCTGATGATTGCATTTTTACTGTTGTTTTTTAAACAGGAACTTATTGGGAAAGTCAACCTCCCAGAGGGTCAAATCTACCCCATCAATCCCTCGCTCTCTGTGGCTGATGCAGCTAAGGACTATGCAGCCAAGGTCAGCAATATACCCTCAGGTGGAGACAAGTTCCCCGTCTTTGATCTGCTCGTTCTCGGGATGGGACCAGATGGCCACACTTGCTCCCTGTTTCCGGGCCACCAACTGTTAAAGGTAACTGCTCTCTGTGCATTCTTATTGCAGTGCCTTTATTGCATTGGTTGGAATAAAATTAAAAGGAAAAACAAAAAAGGAGTTTGATGTTGCCCTAGTGTGGATTGAGGCAAATGCTCGCATTTGTTTAGGATGCCATTGTAGAGTGCATTTCTATTGTGTCTGCATTCTCGACGGAGAGACTGTAGCTACATGTAAGTCATCGTACATTCCAATTAGGACTGATGATGTAAGGGAGCTTGGGGCAGGGTAGGGTTCATTTCTTTTGATTTACTTTTTTTATACATTGCATACTACCTGTTGTAAAGGACAGGAGATGTGTATTAAACCTTTCTCATCAGAAGATATAAAATTATATGTTACACAAATTACAACCTGTATCTGGGAGAGGGCAGCTGTCTGAAAATTCCCCAAATGAACAACGGATAAAGGGTGACCAGATCAGTAATTGACCCATGTTAGGGTTCTGGCAGGCAAATTTCAAGTAATTGTCATCATTTCAGCCACATTTCTGCTGTCTGACACAATTTTGGTGCAGTGCTGAATACAATTTGTACCTGGCAGTTTTCCAAAAGGATACAAGTAGCCAATTTCCTTCACCATTTGGCTACAATATGCTTACTGACGGTTAGTTCTGAGTGCACCATATTCTTCTTTGGACAACATTTTCCAAAGGACTGTTAGATATTTGGGAGAACTGTTGTTTCTCTCAGCCACCAGAATTGTATTTCAGAACTTGAAATCAGCATGTCCTAATAACGACACACTCTGGTGGAACTGCAACAAACTCGGGCACTAACCTCATGTAAGGTCAACGAAACAGACCACTTGCCATCAATCATTAACTAGACAGGGCAATTAACTCCTCATGGGACTTCAAAAGCAGCAAGGATTTCACTTAAACAGCCCTGGGGTGCTTGATTGAGCTACATGTATATGTATTTTAAGAATGCTTACAGGCACCCAACTCAAGCTCATGATTGAATTTAAAGTTGCACAGATCTAAACATGTACATGTATATAGTGTATACTGTGCATGTTCTACCAGGCAACTGGGTTTTATTCATAGACTGGTAAATAACAATCCCTTTGTTTCCACCTAAGGAAGAAACTCTGATAGTTGCACCCATCGATGATTCCCCTAAACCTCCGCCATGCAGGGTCACCCTGACCTACCCAGTCATCAACTCTGCACGCTGTGCTATGTTTGCATCAGCCGGAGCTGGCAAGGCAGATATGGTCCAGGTGAAGAGACAGCACCAGTTCGTTTGTAACATTCCTCAGCATTGTCAATTTCACTCGCTGGTTGGGAATGATGCTTGGCTCGATGCATTTTCGTCCTTGTATTTGACTTTGGGAAAAGAGAAAATCTTCTTCACAATTAAAACCAAAGTAGAAGAAACAAATTCCGCCAAGCTGCTCACCTGTTGCCAAAGAGGAGGTTTCATTACCTGACAATTTCCTGACAGTTTGGGGCATTCATTGCCTCATTGACTCTGTGATTTTTTTTCTAATCACTAAGAGCCAGAGCGTACCCAGATAACACAAGAAATAGTCTCACATATGTGTCTCTGAATGAATGATTGATGAAAATATGGACATTTTAAAAAGGTAGTATGAGCGGTGGAAAAGGAATTTATATGAATGAACATGGGGTCTGATGGAGAAGTCATCTACTGCTACTCTGCAACTCTGTTCAATCCCTGTTGAAGGTGTAATCGAAATGTTAAATTTCTCTACCCAGCGTGTACTAGAGGGCAGTGATGGAGAGCCTCTACCAGCGGCCAGGGTACAGTTGAAACAGGGCACAGTACACTGGTTCCTGGACACCGATGCAGCCAGCAAACTCCAAGCAAAGTATTGAAAAGCCATCTAGTGTATTGGCAAAGGTATTGATTTTTCTGAGTTTTATTACCCAGTTGACACTGACTTTAATCACAATGGCATAGTTCATATACAGAATAAGCACACATGAACAAAAGAAGTCTACAAAATTAAAATGTAAAAAACTATGATGTAAATTTTACTTCACAAAAAGATACTGTGTGTGTCTTTCTATTCTACCAAAAGGTAAGAAAACTGGGGTTTTTTTGTTATGTTTAGAGAAAAGTTCACTTTTAAAAATTACAGATTGTCTGTTTTTCTCGACAAATGAGGACACTAATGGTGTGATGTCAGTACAGGAAGACATTGCGCATTTATGGAGGATTTCTGTGGACCTAAAATTTGCTCAATGAAAGTGGTTATGAGAAAAATTTACGGTCACTCATATGCCATTCATTGACACAACAAAAGTTTGAAAAAAATTATGACAAAAACATATTTTAAAATTTGGCAAATTTTGGTTCAGCAATGTGGATGCTTTGGATGACAGTACACTTATGCTCATAAATATGCAAATTTGGATTGCCGTAAAAATAAATGGAAAAAGTTCCCTTAAAATGGCACACTGAAAATTGAAAACCAAGTCAAATGATACACACTGAAATAAAAGAACTGCTTCACATAATTACATAGCTGGGTCCTTTAAATAAAATGGATATGCACTTTGTATAATTACAGCACATTTTTTCTTCATTACAGCCCATAGCATATTAATTTGAAAACAAATTCTAAGTATCGGAGACGACATAAGTAATTATTAAATATGTCATAAAATGTAACCTCATATGGTGTTAATTATTGACCGTTACCTAAAAGTGCTAGTTTTCTTTTTTCTCTTCATGTTTTTCACTCTCTCAGTCATGGCATCCCTAAGATATCGGCAGTACTTTATAATGGCAGACGTATTTGACATAAACGAAGATGGAAATTAGCTCAGTCCATGTCTGGCAATTTAAGATGGAAATCTCGGAACATTTTACCACCTACACGTACAATAAAGCTCCCACCTGAGTGAATGAAAAGATGCCATGCACAATGTACATCCTCTCTAACATATGTAAATTCACCAAGGTCTGTCTAGATTCGAAGCAAGTGGATGTTCAGTGAGACATGACATTTTAAACCTAATGAAATTACCATTAAGTGAAACTGTTAGCCATTCCATTTCATACTCAATGTATAGGGTTTAATTTTTGTACAATAATATAGAATTTGTAATGAATAAACCCGTAAATTGAACTGCCTACTACATCTTGGTGTCCACCTTCCCGGCCTGTTGCATCGTGTATTTATTAACTTCAGGAAATCAGCATTCCTGCAGGACCAGTTAATGGAAGAAACATGTTTGTATGAGGACACATAAATCATCAACAGTTTTGAGGGACAAACGCCAAACTTTTTTTTGCGAAACTAAGTTGGTATATACATGTACTCGTATGGTTGTGTTCGCTATCAAACCTATTCAAAGGTCCTTAGCCTTGGACGTGATACGTAGACAATTATTTTTACAACTCGGTATCGCATTGTACACGGAATGGAAATAATTTTAGTTTCGCTGGTGGGGATTTTATTTCATCTCCTGATTTACCCCAAACCTTCAGTTTGACATCTGCCCAGTTCCTTCTCGTTTTGCCCAAACGCCAGGTCTTCAAAATCGTCACAAATTAATTCGTCAGTTTCCATGTATGTACATGCGCTATGCATGTACATATTACCAGTGGCGTGTCCAGCGGGAGACGGGGGCCCCCATACATGACGCATCGATGTGCTCCAAAACATGCCAATTAATGTGCTTGCAACAATTACACTTCGCCTCCTGCGGTTTCGAATCAACTTGCGTTCTGCTGCATGCCTGCCAGGGCGCCCTCACCAGTCTTTAAATGAAAAGGCTCTTCCCGCCATACTAAGTGACCTCTGGCCTCTTCTGCTTACTGCAACGGGCGCTTCGTTTGAGTCATTTTTTTCCTGCGAGAAATTGGCATATTTCATTGATTTATACTTGTTATTCGTATGCCCTTTTGGTGTGTTATCATCTTTGACTTATTGTCAGCCTTTCATGAGGCTTTGTGTGTCTCAAACTCAGTCCTTGCAGCCGTTTGTAGCCTTTTTTAGCAAGGATTCTGCTCACCAACCACACGTGCAGTTACCATGTCAGAGGGGTCGGCAGATGAATCTGCGGTATCCCACGTCACGCTTCCCCACGCGGGACCGGGACGACCCTTGATGATCATGTTTCGCCCTTCCCTATTGAAGGGGACCGTGACATAAGACCAGATGCACGCCTCCCTTTACGGGGCCGAGATCAGGCTGAGATATCACATACTGGATCAACTGTGGTTCGATCTCCAGACCCCCACAAGATGGAGCTACAGCAGGGTTCTCATCCTAGCAAATGGAGCTCTTGACAGCCATACAGCAGACCAAAATTGAAATGTTTAAAGGCATAATTGAGAAAGCTTTTGAGAAAATAGAGATATGCCAAGAAAGAGTCTCCTGTCCTACTTCTCTTAGGCAACATGCAGCTATAGAAGTCATCGCACAGACAAACATGGCAAACATAGATCGGTGTCCAGGTCTAGCCCCAGCAGACACAGTGACTATATTTGGTCCTCACATTCAGAGGGCTCAGCGTCACTTTCTCCTGTTGGGAGAAGACAAGCTAGTGAGAGTGGTAACAACCAAAGAAGATTTAATCTTCATGCATGCTGAGAGTTTGCAGGACTTAGACCGGGATGATGCAGGCGGTCATAGCCACACTAATGAAAAAGAAGAGGTTTCTCCACTGCCAAATCCTCATGAAGGGGTTAAAGGGGCCTCTTTTAACCAAGCAGTTCTTGATTGGTGGCAACAACAGCGAACCAATTCACTGGATCAGGCCAAAAAAGATGAGCTTTTAGAGGACCTGACTCCTGATGCAACATTTGGAAAATACTTTAAGGCTCCTGATATGCCCAAACCCATACGGTCTACAATGAAGAAGTCAAAAGTTGATGCCTGGAAAAATGACAACTCTGTATGGTCCATACAGGAAGACTACCTCAAAGTGGCCATTCCCCTTTTTAAGGCCAAAAGGGGTACCAGAAGCTGCAAAATGAAGAGTTAGAACCCCTTTTGACTTCAGCAGGAAGTTTGTTGGGGTCAGCGATCCACCGCCTGTCTCTCTATCGGATGCGCCGAGCTGAGCCTAAGTTTCTCAATGAAGGCTATCTCCGAGATGTTCAGCCTTCGATGTCTTGCTTGTATGGTGAAGAGTGGACCCAAAAAGTGGATAAAGAAGAGAAGATTCACAAGGTCACTCAAAAGGTGGTGAAGAACTGGGCCAAATCCGGTTCATCTGCCCCAAACCTAAAGCATAGGGCCACAAGCCGGAATCAGTATACCAATCCGAAAGGTTGGTCCGGTAGAGAAAAAAAGCAGTCACAGTTATAGGACACAATACCACCCCAATAGGTATCAGCCATACCCTCGTGATTTCCACACCAGTGACCGTGATCGGTACAGCATGCAGATGCCCGAAAAGAAAGATTCTTTTCGTGGAGGTAAGAAGTCACAGAAGACTTTCCAAAAATAAACTAGGTCAGAAGGCAGACGACTTCGATTCTGTATCGAGCTTTGGGCTTTGTTATGCAGGGAATATCCAAAACCACACCACAGAATGGGAGAAACTGACAAACGACCCATGGATTTTGCAGAGCGTGGTTGGTTACAGAATCGAATTCTCACGAGACTCATTAAAGTACAAAGTGCCTGCTCAAATCAAAATGAGCGACCTACAACATCAAATGTGCACCAAAGAAATTCAGAGTATGATCCTCAAAGGGGCAGTAGTAAGGGTACAGGACATTCCAGATCAATTCATCTCAACATTTTTTTTTAGTACAGAAGGCTACGGGGGGTTCCGGCCAGTGTTCAATCTCAAGAGCCTCAACAAGCATATCTGTTCAGAACACTTCAAGATGGAGTCAATCCAACACGTGAAAAGCCTGGTGCAACAGGGAAATTTCGTGGTTACAGTCAATCTGAAAGATGCTTACTTCATGATTCCAATATATGCCCCGCACCGGAAGTTTCTTTGTTTCAAGCGGGAAGGCAAACTCTTCCAGTTCCAGGTAGTTCCCTTCGGGCTTAGATCAGCACCACGACTTTTCACGAAGTTGATGAAACCACTTGTGTCCCATTTCAGACACAGACCGATGAAAGTGTAATTTATCTGGACGTTCTACTACTGATCTCACTTTCCAGGGCAGAATGCAACAAGCAACTGACCTACATTCTCGACATGTTCAAGAACCTTGGCCTGATCGTAAATTGGGAGAAATTGCATCTCCATCCTACCACACAGATAAAATTTCTGGGTCATGTCATAGATTCTCGTCAAATGACACTGAGTCTCCTGAGGCCAAAAATCTACACCCTAGTGAAGAACTGCACCCAGATGACCCAAAAACCCGTGCAATCAGCAGATGCCCTGGCGAGTCTCATTGGAAAAATGAATGCAACTGCCGAAGATGTTGTACCAGCACCTTTTTTTTGAAGGGCCTTGCAGACGGATCTAATTCAGTCTGTCCGAGTTGATCCCACTTACCAGGGCCTGGTCTCTCTGTCGGAAGAAAGTTTTCACGAGTTGCAGTGGTGGAAACACTGCCTCAGACTCTGGAATGGCAAACCACTGGTCCTGTCACATCCTCAACTGATGATAAAGTCGGATGCTTCAACTCATGGTTGGGGAGCTCATTGCGAGCTTGGCAAAACGGGGGGGGGTGGACTGCAGAGAAAAGCACCAACCATATCAATTATTTAGAACTTCTTGCTTCCTTTCTAGTGCTGCAGACCTTTGCCAAGAACAAGACAGATTGTCACATCAACTTACATCTGGACAATACAACTGTTCTGGCGTACATAAAGCACAAAGGAGGTACTCACACAGAAAATTTGTCCCAGCTGGCTGTGAAAATGTGGAAATGGTGTCTGACGAGGAATATCACGCTAACAGCCTCTCATGTTCCCAGGGTAGACAATGTGTTGGCGGACCAGCAGTCCTGAGTCTTTGTGGACAGGTTAGAGTGGATGCTAGACCCAAGGTTATTTGCAAGGGTCTGCACACGGTTGGGGTTCAAACCGACTGTGGACCTGTTTGCATCCAGAATAAACTCCCACTTCCCCGTTACGTTTCATGGAACCAGATCCCGGAGCGATGATGATAGACGCCCTCTCGATACCACGGAGGAACGAACGCGGTTATGCGTTTCCGCCCTTTTGTCTCTTGGCTCAAGTCCTACGCAAGGTAGAAATGGAGGGGGCAACTCTGATGGTAGTCGCTCCAACATGGACCACTCAGGCCTGGTTTCCAGTGCTTTTGCAACTAACCATAACAACTCCAGTTTTACTACCACAAGGGAGTCATGTATTAACTCAACCCCACTCCGGCGAACCCCACCCTTTGATACACTCCCTTCATCTAGCGGCTTGGATTGTCTGAGGAGGCAGTATCGTACCGAAGGTTTTTCAGATGACCTTACCCAAGTCATGTTGGCCAGTTGTAGAGGCTCAACTCACAAACAATATCAATCAGCCTGGAAGACATGGAATCGCTGGTGTTGTGAACGATCGCTTGATCCAATTTCAGCACCTTTGAAGGGTATCATGGAATTTCTGGTTGAAAGTGAGAAGAAAGGGCTTAGTTATCTGTCCCTTGGGGTTTACAGGTCAGCAATTTCACAATATCATGATCAAGTTGATGGCATACCAGTGGGACAATGCCCCTGCATCATTAAACTAATGAAAGGTCTTTTTAATCGTAACCCTCCCAGGCCTAGGTACCTCCTTGTCAGTATCTTTACCACAAACCTTAATTTTTCAGACTGCATTATTTCTTGCGTGCACTTTGGTAATTTGGAGTGTATAATTTGACGATTTACTTTGGCGGGATGGGGGGCTTCTGCCTAGCCCGCATGTGTAATTAAATCTCCAACTTTTCATCATTCCAATCAATAATTGCAACTTGCACATTCCTTTTCGTTTCCATCGTTTTTAGGCTTCAGCTCTAATTCCTTAATCCTTTTATTCTCAAACCTTGAAATTTCATTTTTTGTTTTGAGTAGGCACTGCATGCCTTACACCTACCAACTCCTGCCCCGGCAACATCACCGATGACTGCACCGGCCACCGTCGTCAAAGTGCTGATTGCCCCGGTTTTTATGTAGCGTTTCCTGTTGCTTTCCTAATCTTTCTCTTGTGCCACTTCAATGACCACTTTGATGAGACTGTCTGGTGACACTGGCATGGTGTTGGACAGGGGAATTCCTATACTGTTCATGGACGGTAACCTGTCAAGATAATAGGATTCAAATAATCCCCATTGAGAATCGGTTTGCTTCAGCAGACCACATATGATGCAAGATATGTGGGAAAGGGGACCCCCCCACCTATTGTGTCTTCTGTTGTGTTGATGGTCTTTGGAATTCCTTTCAGATTTCTGAGGGGGGTGCAGTAGGCGCAATAGCCTTAGGGTATACAGCTTGCGCATCACCTTGGGGGGTGCCCCTTTCCCACATATCGTGCCTGGTATCTCAGACCAGACCCATATGCAGCAANGTTAAGTAACAATAGTCTGGAATGTGTATAGAGATCGGACATGTTGGGGGGGTACCCCTCGGTCTCATTTCTTGCTGGGTATTGGAAATGAACATAGCTTTTCAGTGCACCCTGGCTTATTGTGCACTGCTTGGTACATGTACACTAAATGAGAGGGGTACTAGGGTACTAGACCAGTGGAGAATCCCCTTATAAATAAAAAAAATCTGGCAGACCTCTCGTGTATTTTTTTCCTACAATTTGTAGGGTGCGAATGGCAAACGTGGTTAGAAATATAACACTTGGTTGGTGTCAGGGTTTTGCTTCAAAAGTAAACATTTATCCCATTGTGAAAAGAGTCGCAGCAGAGAGAAAGGAGTTGTGAACAACCAGCAAGCATTTATTTGTCTGAGTCAGTCTGACAAGCATGGTCCAACAAAGGTCAATCTATGTGTACTTTACATGCTTACAGATGCAAATAACAGTAGACATGAAAACCAGTTAAGTAACCGTCACACTATGTAATGCATTTTTTTTTTCAATTTGCTTTATTTATATATCATCTTTCTGTAATGCTAGCAACAAGATTGAATCAATAATGACAACTACTGTACATGTATTTATCCACAACTGGATCAACAAGAACAGTACAAGAGCCCCTGGAGGAGAGAACTGCTCTGATCCAAAGCATGAATGTTCGCATGAGCCAGCACCCCGGCGATAGATCGCTCGTCCGTTCGTGCCGACCCCACCCACTCAAGATGAGCAATTCCACCCCTCCTCTTAGGGGCTGGGCCATTCAAGTTGCTGAATAAAGCAACTAGACAATTGCTCTCCATCCCCAACATCCCCTCTGCCTCAATCCTAAGCCAAGTGCAAAGGTGACCGCACCAGGAAGGGAGGAGGGCCATCGACCGGCTCAAGCGAAGCTAGGCCGAAAATGAAAGCAAGCAGTTGCAATCGAGCTAAATTGATCGCGCGCTCCGCAGCCCTAGTTCCGGTGATGCAATACGTTGTATATACTCCCGAGCACACGGTTGTCGCCGCTCCCCGGATTTTGATATCAGAGATTTACCTCGGTGACCGCGCTGTGACCTTCCACAAAGTTGTTGGCACTTGAGGGTGGAAACTGACTTACGTTTAAAAAGGGTCGTAGTGGCATTTGTACCGGTAGTTAATTAGTTATTATTGGTGTCCGAAAGCTGAGTGATATTTCAAAGTAAATGTTTCTTCTGCTTTTGAAATGGTGGCCGGCCACAGTTTAATTAAAATCCATTACAGGGAGAAATATACGATAGTGACATAGAAAGAGGGCTGTTCATAAAGACAAAAGATGGGTCAGTTTGTTAGAAGGGGTGTTTTTTTCTAATAATATTAATGCAATTCAATGCCATGCAAGGGAAAGTATAGTGTTTCCAAAATTAGGACTGCGTGCATACGTTTTGTACTTGTCACCAGCACTAGTTAGCTTGCCTTCAGGATAAAGCAAAATTTCAAAATCTCATCAAACCAAACACCTTATAATAAATCCCTCTGGAAAATGTTATGAGTGGAAGTTCAATTCTGAGCCAAAGTTACTCACGATGTGAAAGTGAAATTTTGGAAACTTTGACCATACAAACAAGATGAAATGGGTGGCATGACAGTTAGGAATATCGGGACTTTGGAGTTTTTTTGCTGTTTCAAAGATTCGAACGTCCAGAATTAAGTGTTTAAATAAATATACAAATAAATGTCCCGTGTATATAACAGTTGACTTCACTATTACATCCTTTAAAGTGGTTAAATGCACAAAAAAGTCCATCTCATTTGTAACCACTCCTTGTACTTGGTTTAAATTTTAACACAACCCCTCCCGATCATTTGGTTCGGAATCAGCCCTTGGATGCAGGTTTTACCCTTACTGGGATAAACATTTTTCCAAAAGTGGTGAAAAGCAAAGGCGTTGCGGGAACTGCACTGTAAAACCTCTGGTGTTAAAGTCAACACTTTTTGATGTTATCAGATGACCCCACCATAAGATGTTACTTTAACACCACTAGTGTTACTTTGCACACCTTTAAGTGTTACAGTGCACTGGAGGGTGTTGAAAGTAACACCAAAATTTCTACAGTGAAAGTGTTTTAGGTCACTCTCAAAGTTAATGTTTGGATATTATTGCGCAAAGCTGGCAATCATTAAAGAAAAAACAAATAATTTAAAAACCGTTGAGGAATCTCACGTAGTTGTCAAAGCACTAATAAATAATACTACTAAATGGTAATAGAAGGAAAAACTCTAAATCGTAAGCGTAGAAAACGAACATTTAGGGAAAAACCTGTCACCAATATCAAGGTTGTAACGGCTACAAACCCCCGTCACTCAGACAGTATTAATTACGAGACGGGCCTTTAAATACACATACAATTCCAGAACACCGAGACCCTTTGGGGAAGGGGGTTTGGCAAGTGTGAGCACTGTTCTTGTAATACTTTTCTTGATATAACAAATCCAAAAGAGAATGTTCTAAAGAAGAATGTTTACTGCTCTGAGCAGAACATTGGCCACATTTAAGACTTATTTCCTGTCAAATGCACATGCACAGGAGACCTCTAAGAAATTCCAACCTTCCAGACCGCATGATAATGCACAGTTGATAAATGCTGAGCAACCCCATTCATTGACAAAAATACGACTTTACCACTGAAATACCACTTAAAAGAGAACGGAACACCAACATATGGCTATAGGTCTGCAATGTAATGGGAAAATTTGTCTTAAATTTAGTCAGGGATGTTGAAGTCTACTATATCGGCCTTATTGTTCAGTCTGTTGTAGACATAATTTGCTATCGAGGTTCACCGTCGAGGAACCTCGATAGCCAATTATAATAACTCCAAGTGGTGACCTTCATAATACCGAAGATGTTTAGTTTTCAAGCACAGATCTATTTCAGTTGTGCTAAACGAGTTCAGAGTGGGTTTTGCTAAGGATAAGGTTGCTTGGCAACAAACACCTAAACAAGCATTATTATATGGTCCTTGAGGTTTTATATCCTGTCCAATTCACTTCAGCAGATTTTCAAAACCAGTGCAATATATTGTGTTAATGTAGCCCTGATTTATGACAGTCTTTTGGCTGACCGTGCATTGTGTCCTACCGTTGATGCACAAAAGACCACCTACTGTTGCTTAGATACCACTCTGCGTAATTTTTGAAAGTAAGCAAACTAATAAAGGCTATTTTATTTCTTCGCTTTACCTCATGCCTTATGATCAATTAGCCATGACAGAACCGCACAATTAACATTTACTGTCTGCTCCAGTAAACACTGAAGTCGTGGTTCAGAGTTTGAGAGCTTTCCTGCAGAGCCAGTTGACATTTCATCAGCTAGGGACTCATGGTGGAAGGGACGCTCACCAGTTGCTTTATTTCCTGTTCATATATTTGCAAACTCTTGAATGATTTCAACTACAGTTCTGCACTGCCCGTTGGTCTGTTTTGACTTTTGTAATCGGCTACTGGACGCCTAAGTTTCAATACTGTGTGTGTTTATAAAGCTATTTGGGATTTCTTTCATATTGACTCAGTGCACGATTCTGCAAGTATGGAAACACAATCGATTCCCACACTGTTCCTCCGAGTCGCTTTATTACTTTGTCTCGTGTGCGTAATCAGTTCTCTCAGCGTCCAGAAAAATCCTTGCAGTGCAGTGAGACATTTTGCGTTTCATGGAGCAGCAAATCGAGCGCTGAAAAATTTTGAACTTCATGAGTCAGTTGGAGGGAGGAGAGTTGTCTGCGGAATAAATTGCCATGCCGATCCACGCTGCAAGTCGTTCAATTTCTACGAATGGGACGGCACGTGTGTCCTGAACAATGCTTCGCGTGAGGCACATCCCGAGGACTTCGTGAAGACACCGGGCAGTGTGTATTACGACGCCGATGAAGGCACGGCCCTTTTGTCTTGCAGTAGCTGCAAGCAGCTCCGAGACGCGGGTTACCGTACTAGCGGCGTGTACACCATCTACCCGGCCGCATTCAGCGATGGTTTGGAGGTGTTCTGCGACATGGAGGCCGATGGCGGAGGGTGGGTCGTAATTCAAAGGAGGCAAGACGGCAGCGAGGACTTTGACCGCCCTTGGAAAGACTATGCGGCCGGTTTCGGCAACCTGTCCGGTGAGTTCTGGCTAGGGAACACCGTCTTACAAGCGCTGACCTCAGCACCAGGGGGGTCGTGGAAGATGAGGTTCGACATGGAAGACTGGATGGGAGGCAAGGTGTGGGCAGAGTATAGCGGGGTTCGATTGTCAGGGGACCAGTATACACTTACTTTCAACGCGTTTAATGTTGCTAGTACAGCTGGAGATTCACTCGCTAACAACTACAAATTCTCAACTAAGGATCAAGACAACGACTTATATTCACCAGCGAATTGCGTATTCATTCAAGGGGGAGCATGGTGGCATACTGCCTGTGGTTCCTCCAGCCTTAACGGTCCTTACCTTCAACCTAGTGACACCGAAGGTGGTAGAGGAATTTATTGGTATACCTTTAAGAACGCTTATTATTCACTGAAAACCTGCACTATGAAAATATCTGAAACGCGTTAATTTTAGAGAAAACCAGTCGGTTTTCGATGCATGGTACATGGCGTTACACGAAATGTATCTTTATTCCTAAATAACTTATATGCACGGAGGCGTTCATAGGACGAGACTCACGAACTCAAACGATCCTGTTCTTATACCATACGAATGTTTGTGGCTTCTTAAGCACGGTGGGGAGTAATTGAACATGTCACCTCAAGAAAAATGGAGAAAAATGAATATATTTTACTTGCGGTAAATAGGCTTAGGCTTACATTAATTGTAGCAAAACGGTGCACACAGACGTGGTTGCGATTGAAAGCTCAACAGTGTAGGACCTCGAATGCTTGTCGCAAAAATCTGCAATATTTGATTTTATTACTTAAAACCTTGTAGCGTGCAAAACGAATATTAACTTAAGAATCTTAACGAATTTCAGGCCAGGTTTGCGATTCATCGTTTTTTTAATAATGATTACCGTAAGTTTCAAATATTGTTGACCTAGGCGGTTATTGTAGAGTTTTGACTGCCTCTGAATTAAACAACTAAAAAGACACGTGCCAAAACATAATCAGACAGTAACTATGAAAAGACATATGCGTCAGTAATTCAGACAGTTTGCCTATTCAACAACGTGTGACTTATGGTGTTCTATAGACGACAAAATTCCAAAGCATCGTGCCGTCACGTCGTTACATCGCTTCCTTTCTCATTATTACCTTTATACCATGTCTAACGCATTGCCTCATGCTGTCGCGTCGTACTGTCTTGCAGTCGCGTTGTGCCGTCGACTCGTTGCGTCAAGCCCTTTAGCCGTTTCGTGGAGTTTCGTGGAGTTCTATTTTTAGAGCCTGTACGGCACGACGGCACGATACGATGGACGACGACACTACGCGTCATACACAACACGACGCTGTGACGACACGACGCGACGGCGCGACATTAGGACACGACAGCACGACGGCAGGATGGGACGAAGCTGTTGTAGCGTTCTTGCATCGGTGCGACTGCACTAAGCGACGCAATTTTGTTGTCCATAGTCTGTGCACACGGGTCGCCACGCGTCCGCCAAGTCCATATAAGGAAATTCTTTTGGATAACTTACACAAGGAACATACCATAACATGAATGGGGGTGTTCGGGAAAATAAATTAAGTAAATTCCAGAACAATGATCGCTTGAAATCCATCATATATTGACTCTTTTGACATCTTTGATTCTCTGACTAAAAAAGGTATTTATGGATGTGAATAAATCGTGCTTGGCCCGTCTCAACCTACCAGCTCACAAGACGGAACGCTGATGACGCCCGAGCCGCAAGCTTGTGCATTAGTAGCGTCCATTCTCCTAAGCCAGTCTTAAACACACGTTTAAGACCGGCCAAGCACATCTTTATTCCCTATTACTACAAAAAAAAATTTATAACTAACAGCATGGCAACGAGAGTTGTCACTTTCGTAAGGTAGCGCATAATGCAGTTGATTGCCTGAGCTGTCCTAATGTCATTACCATTGGCTTCAGTGGCGCATCCAGCGTGGCCGGGAGGAGAGTTGGGGGCAAGTTTTCCCTGATCGTCTTTGAAGTGATTGAAAGGGCCAGTATTTTAGAAACGCCACTGTCACCTTTTTCTGGGAATGTTCGCTCCCACCCCTCCTAAGACCTTGATGACCATTGTTTGGGTTGTCGAAAGGCATAGGCCTAAGTGGCTCAGCTCTGGCAAATCACACCAAATCATTTTTCTGTTTCAAATTGTGATAATGAAGTACATGTAGCACGTTTCACTTCATTTGTGAGTAATTTTAACAAATTGTCATTTCCCCCCTTAATTGTTAATATACATCAGGGATTTTCAGGGACTGTTTTATTGAAATATAGCTTCAACTTTGCCTTGCCTTTACATATCAGTTAACTTAACAAAGCATTTTGCTGATTCCCACTTGATCCCTGAAATGTCGCGACCAACCGTTCAATCTATCCAACATCATCCTTAGGACTTCTCGATCTTATAAAAGGAGGGCTTCGTGAGGGGGCAATAGGCGAGGGAATAGAAACAAATTAGGAGGGAAGAGAATGAAACTGAATTATTTGCTTTTAAAAATAACTTGAACTCGGACCCCTTCAAACATGAATGGCTGATCAGTTTCCTTGCTAATGAGTGTTTTGCAACTACCCCTGCCCACAAAAAGAAAACCTTGCCGTACCCACAACTTCAAGATCTGTGTTAAAGGGGCCCTAATAATAATATCAAACAAAAACTCATATTCATTTTCTTTTGGATAAGAAAGAAATAAACATTGAAACGAAAAGGGACTTTGTTATCCCTGGCGGGACTCGAACCCGCAGTCTTCGGTTTAGGAGACCGACGCCTTCTCCATTAGGCCACAGGGACTGTTACAACGGGCAAGGTCTGAAGTGTTATTGGATGTGGCCTATGAGGATTCAGCAAGAAAAGCCATTCAGGGTATCATTTTGAGAAGGTGAAAAGGAAATATATTATTTCATCCACAAGTTAATCCGTTAAAATAAAAAGAGCAAACATTGAAGTGAACTGCAATCAACGAACGCAGTTTTAGGGACATGCTGCGAGCTTTTCAACGTTAGGAATGCATGCCATGATACCTTTATCCCCGTGAGTTTGGTGGAAACTTCTTCCTCGTGGTCTGACCCCTATTATTCCACCTTCGTGAACGTATATAACATTGGCTGTCAAGCATGATGTTTATCAGTGACGTCTCAGCCACACATTTGTTTATCGGGGTTTCAGAACCATTTTTCAATATGTCAATTAATACAAATTTGCACAACTCAACTTATAGTGTCATATGTTATCTGCGGTTGAAGTGCAGCTTCGCACAAAGTGGGAAAGTATTTGAGGATTATTTAACACTAATCTCAACGCACTTTCGTCTTTCAAGATCATTTAAAACTAAAAAGAACGAAGGGCAAAAAAGTGAAACTTTTCCGGCACCGCAATTCACAATGCGGCAGGGTGCATTGCGCACGGCTGCGAATGTTTGTGGTGTCAGTGAACAGCCCAACCTGACCCAGCCGGAGGCTTTCGACAAGGAAGAGTGGACCAACATCCCACAGAAGACATGCAGATAGTTTGTGGACACTTACAGGAACCGTCTTGGGGTAATCATCAGGAAAAAAGGCTACGCTGTTGACTATTAAGAAAAGACAATGGACTATGTAAACCTGAGGTATGAATAAATTTGAACAAAAGCAAAAAAGGAACCCGGGCCGTACCAATATTATGCAACGTGGATTTGTGTATTGCAACAAATAGACAAAAGATATAGCGGAAGTACCAACATAATAAATTTTACAAATAAAGAATTTAGAAAAGTGTGTTATTTTCCAAACGGTATGAATACTATTGAGCACAACTGTACCGCAGTACTCTACTGGCCCCAAACCACAATTGCCTAAAGCCAGGTTTTCATCCTGCACTAATCTTTGAAAGAAGAGGAAATAAAATAATTTCAAAAATCACTTTATCTCAGTCTTTTAATTTGCTCTTTTTGACGCGGCATTTCCATTAGATATGTGCCCTTGCATCTCCAGCAAACTTGAAATGTTGGATTCTTTTTAAATTTAAAAACATAATGTTAAACTGCTGTAAAAAAAATTAAGTTTGCACTGTTCGGTCAGAGATTGAAGGAAATTTTATGATGTTTTAAGCTATGTGTAAAAGTCTTTCATTGTCGAATTAATAGACCGATTGCGCCCGCTAAGTCACGTGACCTATAGTGCGTATTTACTATCAACAAACACGGCATCCGCCAAAAGCAAAGTGTTTCATTATTATCATTTACCAAAAATAAAGGCGAAGATAGGTGCCTTACTCAGACTACTGATGTGCTGGGTACTTCCGGAACTTTGCTGTATTGTTTGCAGACAACACTCAATCACTCGTTGCTACATGTATGGGGTTGATACCCACTGTAGGTCATTTGATTTAGCGGCCGCAATCGGTCTATTGAGTATAAAAGTCAAACATGATTAATTGCCGTGTTTGGAATAAATATGGATTGTGCCAATCTGCACTTTTCCAATAATCGGAAAAATGGTATTCCTTTAAACAAAACTAAAAGACCTCGGTGATAGCGTAAAAACAAGATGTTTAATATTTTGTTTCTACAAGACCACTCATATAGAAGGCTCCGAATTCAAGGATGAGACAGCAAGCCTTGTTAATCAAATAAACTTGTCACAGTGCTGACTTCAGTACCCTCAACACCGGTCTAGTTTGTTCACTCATCTGGGTCAATAGCATCACGAGCTGTATACCATTGCAAAGATAGCATTCTGCCCTTTCTAGAGATATGTTTCGCTTTCCCATATATAAAGTAGTTTTGGTATTACAATACTTTTTATCACGGTATACTTTTTATGTGGACACTCTGTATTTTTTGGGGGGGGGTTCGCCTTTGGCAACGCTTTGGGATCGGCAAAGTGTCGGCTGTGTGATAAAAACTCGACCTCAGTACAATCACTTTGTTGTAATTTATCTTTTTCACTGCGTATCACTGATCACATGTCTTTTGGAGATATACATGTATTTTAAAGCGTTGGTTATCTTGATCAATTTTGGATGAACGAATAAAGTGTAGTGAAAATAATTAAAGCAATGATGAAAAAATATCGAAAAAATATAGAATTGATAACCACCGCTTGTGTAATGCATTGAGCGAGCTAGTGCACCTGGCAGAAATTTACCCACAATGCTCTGCGTGCCGTTTGCTGTGATCCCGTGTGACGTATTTTCTCCATTAGTAAATCTGTGCAAGGCCATCACCCCTGTGCGACTAGCGATTGCATCCGTGTGATAACAGTGCAAAAGCGAATCATTCAGCACCCGAGGTGACGTGCAGCAAAGGAAACGTTCAAAGTGTTCTCGGACAAAACATTACGGCTCTTAGCTTAGTATTAGGTCTAGCCCTAGGCTCCTTGATCCAAGTTTAGTCCGTGTTCATTAGAATGTTGCATGGCGAAGTGACGACCCACAAATTTGATACACA